GCTTTTTTCTTGTTGTTGGTCTTTTTCTTCTCGTCCTCACGGCTGCTCTGGGCGAGATACCCGTGTCTCCAGCATGGTATACTGCGGTAAGCCGTCGAAAGGCTGTTCCAATTGTCGTGAGCGTAAGATCAGGGTAAGTTCCCTATCCTTGGTGTAGATATTCCCCAACTCGTGCAGCCAGGTCTGCCCTCGCTGTTGCTGGCCCAAAGGCTCTCGTTTGGCCGCGAGTAGGCAACATACTCTCGAACGGCGGGAGAGTCCTCTGACTTTAGGCTAATGAAGCCGCCAATAGTGTGATCAGAAAGAGCCCGGCTGTGGCCAGTGTGAGAAGCGACAGCAGCAATGTCCTGGCTACCGAAACCTCGTCGACCTCATGTTTCGAGATGAGAGTTCCCACGTCATCAAGAAAGCCGCCAAAACGAAGGCAAGGGGCCGCTTAAAGAATGCACAGGCCTCGAGTGCCGGATCGTCTTCCGAAAATGTTGTAGCCAGCACCGACCCCGAGAGCTCCGACCCGAGTCCTGGAACGGCTGTGAAGACCGGCGTTCGGCGCCAATATCCACCTCGTCCCATGGATACCACAATGATGACCATCAGGCATCGGCCACGTCAGATTCAATGGTCTTCCTCCTCCTCCGATAGCGATGACGACGAAGACGGCCTTTTGCCATCTTCTCCAGAGGACGGGCCCTGGTCGACGACTCCGCAGGCAAGGCCTTTGTACTTTCTGTCGCCCTCATACCAGGAACGTGGCACAGCCTTCTTCTTTTCTCGCTATGTCTCCATGGACGAGAATGCCTGCCATCAGAACTATGACTTCATCTTTGATGTCTGGCGTCCCGCCAGCATGCTGCCCAGTCGACAAGCGGACGGCGTGATGGCAAGTGTTGCCGCTGTCGGCTTGGCCGGCCTTTCACACTTGACAATGTGTGCTGAAATGATGGACTGGTCCCGTCGGAGCTACGGTGCCGCTCTAAAAATGACAAACGATGCTCTGAGGGATCCGGTTGAAGCAGTCAAGGACACAACCATGTTGTCCATCCTCGTCTTGGGCACCTACGAAATGTTAAGCGGTCGTACGAACCAGACAGTGAGAGCATGGCAAAACCATCTCAACGGTGCCTCCGCTCTGGCCAAGATGCGAGGCCTCGGCCAGTTCAGAACCAGAGCAGGAGCACGGATGTTCATGATGCTGACGCAGATCGTCCTCATCAACTGTATGCAGAGAGACATGCCCATGCCGCAGTCTCTAATCGACCTCCGGAACCAGCTGGGTATGCTTTCGGGCGGAACTGATCCTGGCTGGCGATTATCCGGCCCTATATACAAGGTCATGCAGTTGCGGTACGAAATCAACAGCGGGAAACTTAATCAGACGGCTGATATCATCAATCAACTGTCCAACGTCGATCAAGACTTCGCGGAAGTCGTTGCCGATTTGCCTGAATCATGGAGGTACAGATCCGTGAGGATTACGACTGCACACCCCGCCGTATTCGATGGCCACCGCTGTGATGTATATGCCACGCTAGGACTAGCTGCAACCTGGAACGGCGTCCGATCGATAAGAATGATGGTACATGAGACCATCCTTGGAGAGCTCTTCAAATGCTTCCATGGTCAAAACATCATGCTTTGGCCGTACGAAGCAAAATTGCAGCTGGCAAAGTCTGTCGAATTGTTGGAGAAGCTTTGCGAAACAGTGTTGGCGAGTATTCCTCAACATTTCGGCGTCGTCAACTTCAGAGACGCCATGTTTGGAGGCGGCGGCTCAACGTCAGCCATTGTTCCAGCAACGAGGTCACCGTCTCGAATTGTGCGGTCTCCTTCAATTTCTGCATCGTCGTCTTCGCCGTCGTCCGTGGCCGAGTCACCGCCTAGCCCGAGGGTTTTCAATGGCCCAACTTTGCAAGACCCAACCTACGCAAAGGGCCGCAGTAACGATGCCGAGCGGTTCATGACTCTCGCCTCCGCGAGTAATACAATCGTGTGGCCGTTGTACTTGGTTGGCGTGTCATCATGTTGCACGCAAGTGGTCAAAGATTTTGTCGTTGATCGATTGAAAGCAATACTCGAAGAGTCGGGGTTGATGCAAGCTCATGGAGTGGCACTCATGGTTCGGGACAAGGAGGTGTATATACCGTGGTCTGATGTATCCTGGAACCGAATGCCACAGACACATATACCGTCAGACTTGATCGTGTAGAGCTGGAGAGCTAAGTGAGGCGTGGACGAATCGCTTGCTGCCTTTGTATCAATAGACATATACATAGATGGTGCGCAGATAATCCGGGTAGCCTTGAATGCGCAGTAATATGGTCAAAAGGGGTATCATGTCTTTTCTTCGTCCCGTAGCCTTCAAACTATATCAGCGTCAACTCGGCCACGATAACTCACCAGTTATCGAAATTGCCGAATCCGCCACTTTTGAACTTCTTCTTAGCCGGCTCTTCCCAAGTATCCAGGTCAGTCGCCCCCGTATCTGTGGCAGTAGAGCCCTGCGACTTCAGATACTTGCCCACCCCAGCACCGGCACTCCCGTTGTCCACAGTACCGTCGGCTCGGATTCGCTTGCCCGTCCACGTTGTCTTGTCGTCTTCCGTGCCTCCACTCAAGGCTATTGCCTGCCTCTTCTTTTCCAGATTATCGGTCTCGCTCTTTTCTTTGAGGAACTCTTGGAACGGATCCAGATAAACCACCACGTCTTTCATAACAATCTTGTTGAGGGGTCTGTCGGACCCGTCGGTGGGAACGTCTTCCATCTTGGAAAGCACGTCGAGTCCGCCAACAACCTTGCCAAATACAGTATGCTTGTTGTCCAGGTGCTTCGTTGGCCGATAGATGACAAAGAATTGGCTAGAGTTGGTATTCTTGCCTTTGTTTGCCATACTGAGGATGCCGCGGGCATCATGCGTCAAAGGTCCATCGAACTCGTCTTCAAAGTTCTTTCCCCAGATGCTAGTGCCGCCCTTGCCTGTTCCCGAAGGATCGCCTCCTTGGAGCATGAAGTTCTTAATGTTTCGGTGGAAGGTGACACCCTTATAGTAGCCCTTCTGGGCTAGCCTCGTAAAGTTCCATACCGCGCGAGGTGCGTATTCGGGATACAGTTCGATGTTGAGGTCGCCCAAGTTTGTCTCTATACGAACATATCCTTTGATCTTGACCCGTTTCGGCTTGAGCATGTACTCTTCGTCAGTCAAGAGTGCCCGCTCGCCACTTGTCTCGGGCGTGAGGCCTGTGCTGGTGAAACTGGCGGCGGCTCTGCCATTGGTGTAGACCGCAGCATTTGATGGGATCTTCTTCTCCATGACCATGGACTTCCTTTGCGCTGCCGACACCGCCTTCACAACGGCACCAGAAGAGCGATTGACGTCGCCTCCATCGCGTTCCTTCCGCGCTTTCTCGACAGCCTCCTTTGCTCGTAGAACTCTGTCACCGATCCTGCCGAGCGCATCAATGTTGACGTTACCATTCTTCCGCTCCTCTTCTTGCTCCTTGCTTAGGAGAGCATCCTCACCATCCTTGAGGTACTTGAACTGACTCAAGTCTCTGCTGGCTGCGTTCTGGGGGTCCTGCAAGGTAATGATATCTGCTCTTGTGAACTTTTCATCGTCAACGAGATCCTGCCAGTTCTTTGCCTTGATATTCATTCGCTCGACGGTCTCCCAGGCGAAGACGTTTGCATAGGTTCCGTGTCGAATCGCAACAATGTGGGTGTTGTCAGTGAAGACCTTGAAGGTGACAGGATCGATCAGATCGCCTTGGCCATCGCTTAAGCCTGCGCTCCTGGAGTCGGTCTCGGCGTTTCTTGAAAAGTTGAGCTTGATCAGATCTTTGGCGTTCAATGCTTCGCCATTGACGGGGTTTGTGTCGTGTTTGTCCAGCCATGAGCTGATGATTTCGACGTCGAAGATGGTTCCATCCTTGGTGCAGACCGGATTCTTGAAGGGCTGGAGGCTTGCGGCGCAAAAGTTGAAGGGCAACTTGCGAAAGGTGCCTCGTGACCGCGCATTGACATTGGCGCCGGCGCTGGCAGAGTAGGCATCCGACGATGACCACTCGGAATGGGTGATGTAGAGTTTGTCCGTGTTCTTGCCCATTATTTCCGTCAAAGGGTGTTGGGTAGTAGGCAGAGTTGGACGAGGCTGACAGACTTATGATGGCGAAGTCGCGATGTGGAAGAGGTGCGTGTGTCGTCGAAGCCTCGCCATACAATAATCGCGGAAGCCAAAATCGAGCGAATCTGAGTCGTGGAAACGCGACAGGAATCTTCACCAGTGATCGTGCAGGAGCGACGACTAGCGACGCCCTGGCACGGTGGTTCCCGCCATCGGCCCCAGCGGGGTGGCTGCCGTGCGGCGACACGGGCGTGACGGGGTTGCACCTTCTATGGGGCTGAGGCAACCTGTCCTCCCTACCTTACGGGTAGGCTCCCTTACCTTCGGGTACCTAAGCTACCTGGCATTAGGGATAACTACCTCTAAACGCCCGAAAAAGGTACCTACGTTTCAACGAGTAGCTCAGCGTAGAATCTAATAGCGCAGGGTTCCTAGATGTACTGGCCAATGAAACTCTCCAAGTATTGGAAGTTCTAGCGGTAGGCGTACGTACCTCGGAGCTTGGCACGCACCTCCCTCACGCTGCAAGTTTCGCGCAAGGTCCGTTTCCTGTCTGCCAGCCTGGCACTGACAGACTTCCATCTGCTACAAGCTCCCTTCGACACTGTCTCCGTGCAACGTATCCGAATTGGCCGGATTTGCTAATCTCCACGATCTGCCAGCGCCATTTTTCCAACGGTACCCAAGTCGTATGCCCTCTCTCGGTTCGGCATGCTATACGCGATCATCGTCTTAGCAACATCGTCGTAGATAGAGCTGGTTGGAGCTTGACACCTTAGGCGAGCATCACGAAGCGATCACCTCCTCCCGACTTCTAGTCTACCAAACCTTAAATACCTACTATTCGTCGCAGTCTTCCTACCTACGGTAGCTGTCCTCAAGATGAAGGCCTGGCTCTATGCCTCCGTCCTGGGCATGTCCCTCTGGGCGGCTAACGCTCTAGAGGTGAAGATGGTAAGACTCCTATCCAAAAGCAACGATTGCGATATACCTACTGTAGTGCAATTGGAAGCTAATGTGACTCCGCTCGCCCAGGACCAAACGGACGAAAACAGACAAAGATGCTCAGGTAATCCCGACAGTGACTGAGAGCTAGATGTTCTATTCGATACGATGCTGACAAAGGCTCAACGCAGGCATGTACAGTCGCAGCGCTTGGGGCGGACCTGTCGACCCTTACATCAACGTCATGTTTATCCCGAAGGAAGCGGCAGCTGACCAGGACCCTACCGTGAGCTTGGTCATCTTCGAGTGGAAAGATGAGGACTTGATCGGCGTTCGCGAGACCCCTGATGCAGAGAATGTAAGATGCCCCCGGAGGACAGGCTCGAGAATAACTATAACGGGTGACTGACACTCCATTTCAAACAGAAAATTGGTATTTGCCAGGAGGCATTCGTCAAGAAGAACTACTGCAACGAGACGGACATTGGCAAGTTCATCATCGATAAGGAAGCCACAACCAAGTCGAAGAACATTATCGAAACGAAAGCCATTCACCTCAAGGAGCCCCAGAGCACCAAATACATGATCAAGAAGACGGGCTATTACTGCGTCCTAACCGACAAGTTCACTGCGGGCGAGTTCACTGCTGTTGTGGAGTTCCGCAATGCCTACGGCGAGCTGCCCGCGACTCAAATTCCGAAGCTGCCTTTTTACGGAGGAATCACCATCCTCTATGCTTTAGTTGCCGTATTCTGGGGCTTTTTGTACTATCAGCACCGCCATGATATTCGTAAGTCGGAAAGCGCAGTGCGATTGTTACCCGTCTAATTGACAATCACAGTACCGGTCCAGAACTACATTACGGCCATCGTCATCTTCCTAGTTGTGGAGATGCTCTTGACATGGGGCTTCTATGGTGAGACTCCCTTTCCTCGGTTGCAAGAAAGTAAACTGACCCCAAACAGACTACCTCAACCGAAATGGTGCAAACATTGGCTCCAAGGTGCTGCTGGTAATAGTAGCCATCTTGAACGCCGCTCGCAACTCCTTCTCTTTCTTCCTATTGCTCATTGTCTGCATGGGCTACGGTGTAGTAAAACACACGCTTGGGCGAACCATGATCTGGGTGCGCTGGCTTGCGATTGCCCATTTCCTCTTCGGGCTCGTGTATGCGATCACCAGCTTGTTGATTACCCCAGACGCTGCTGGTAAGCCGTCATAGTCTACATACTCCAAAATGATTCGGAATATTGCGGACTAACATATCATAGGGCCTTTTGTACTTCTCATCGTCCTCCCCCTTGCAGGTACACTTACCGGATTCTACATCTGGACACTGAATTCCCTGAACTTCACGCTCAAGGATCTGCGTGAGCGCAAGCAGCATGCAAAGGAAGCCATGTACAAGAAGCTATGGTGGTGTATCCTCATCAGCATTTTCGTCATCTTCGGCTTTTTCTTCTTCAACAGCTTCAGCTTCGCGTCAGTCAGCGACCCCGACTACGTTCCCTTCCACTGGAAATCGAGGTGGTTCATCCTTGATGGATGGCTGAATCTTGTCTACTTCGCCGACGTGGCATTCATTGCCTATGTCTGGAGACCGACGGCGAACAACCGACGCTTCGCCATGAGTGACGAAATTGCACAAGACGACGATGGCACGTTCACTATGGCTGATATTGGCGGCATTGATTCGGACGATGACGACGAGGAAGCCCAGTTGGGCAAGAACAACACGACTGCTCCATCAACCACTCTTGGCCACGGTGGCTCATCGGCCGCACCAGCGAGCATGCCCCAAGCCCAGCCACAAAGACACATTCCTCGCGAGTCTTTGGATGGAGAGACCATCTTCGCAGTGGGAGAAGATGGCGATAGGTTCTCGGATGATGACTCTGATGAGGAAGACGCCAAGCTTGTAAGCAAGAAATAGACGGTAGGCATTTTTGGGTTTCCGGGCATTAGGCAAAAGCAGCAATTGCGTAATTGCAGTGTAAAGTATGCACTTCAAGGGCGGCGTTGGCGTAGTTCACTCGGTTTCCGTCATTCGGGAGAGAAACTTTATTGTCTTGTAGAGGTGGGAGGTACCACATTGTCAATCACATGATCGCAAATAATGCTCATGAGTCTGCTCTCGTTTGGTATCATCTTACAAGCCATTCCTAAAAGTACACGACAATTCTTACACGTCGCCGCCAAAGCCGACGGGACGCCTCTTTCCATCGTTCTCAGGCAAGATGGCCATGGCCTTGTATACCTTACCCATCCCACCAGGGCCACGGTCGACAAGACGCTTCCAAGCACCCTCAATGGCCTGCGCCTTATCGGTGGCCGCCTTGGCCTTGACTTGCTTGATCAAGACCTCGGCACGCTCTTTGATGCCCATCTGACCCAGGAATGCGCCCTGATCGACGGGCCCGTGGACCTCGACACCCTCACTCGCGATCATCGCTGCCTCGGCGATGGCGGTGAAGTCGACGTCAGCGCTCAGGTCAACGAGGCCCGGTTCCGAGAAGGGACTGACGCGTCGGTGGCGGCGGATGCCTCTCAGGGAGTTGATGGGGACGGTATCGGACGTGCCGTAATCCAGGATCAGTGCCGCGCCAGAGGGCCGGGCTTTGGGGTGCTGCTTTGAGCCGCCGATGCGGCTGGCAAAGTCGGCGGCGTAGATGGAGGCGTCGGGGCAGATCTCGGCTACGGCGTCCGGGACGGTGGCTTTGAGGCGGCGGTAACGGGATGAGGTCTCGGGGACGTAGCGCGAGTGGCGGGTTGAGCTTGTGGCGAGGGTCATTTGGAAATCGGGGATCGGGTCACCCTGTTCTGATTTCGGTATGTTCATTGTTGCGTGGGTTGCGTCTGGCGGGGTCGGTGAGACGAGCATCTCGCGCCATTCGATCTTGGGCCCTTCAGCTTCACGAGGGGGGGTTCTCGGGGTGGGTTGTCCCGGTATGGGTTCTTTGGGTGCGGGAGGGAGAACTTTGACAGCTTGGAAGGCGTGGATGGGGAGCGCATCGAAGAACTCGTGTGCCACTATCAGGGGCATCTTCTCGGGGCCTGGAAATAGTGTCAGTGTCTTGATAACTCTCCCAAAAAGGTCATGGATGCCCCATGCTTACTTTGAGGAATCGATTTGATGGTTTCGGTCCAGACAATGGGCAAGTTGGTACGCTTGCAGACGCTGTGATATCCAACTTTAGATTCTGTCATTGGCGCATCGGGGCCGCAAAGGAGGTTCTTCTGCGCCTCGCGGAGCTGAGGGCTGGCCTCCACCATGTAGATGGCGTCAATACTTTGCGCAAAACCCTTGAAATTCTGCATCGTCTGCACGTGGGTATGTTAGCCGCGAACCGTTACCCTGCCAGAGGGACCCAAATCTACTTACACGAAGCATGTCGTCCATCAACGTACCGCGTCCGGGGCCGACCTCCATGATCTCGACGCCCTTGCTGGGCTTGCCCTGGCTCAACCACTCTGCGACGAACCAAATACCAATCAGCTCGCCAAATATCTGGGATATCTCGGGCGACGTGACGAAGTCTCCCTTTAGGCCGAACTGGTCTCTGTTCTCCTCGGCCAGACCCGTATAGTATCCGTCAATATCGCCGGTTAGACACATGCGCATGTAGCTCGCGAGGGGAATGGGACCGGTCATCTATGGTATGATTACGTTAGAAGACAGTAATTGAGTAGCCAGGAGATTGTGGGCGCATACCGAGATAGCCTCGGCCAGCTGTTTCGCCAAAGGCGTAGACCATTTCCTCTCCTCCCCATCCCGCCTGGACACCGTGCTTGAGAAGCATCTCGAAGCATGCGTCCCGCTGGTCCGCTGCGCAGCGCGGGATATGGCAGCGCCCCGTAGACCATCCAGCAAGGCTCTTTGACGAGACAGTCGCTGCATCTTTGCTTATCTCCACTTTTTTGCTGTTTCTTCTCTATTTCGTGTAGCATTCCAGACTTCAAATCATGTGCTGGTTGTCGGGATCATCGCGGGATTCCTCAAGAAAGATAGACGAGTCCTTGGTAGCACATGCGCATGTGTAACCACAATTCGACAAAAGTAATTCTCGTTTTATGTGAGACAGGCAGGCCTTGAATGATGCTCTTCTCGTTTGCTTCGTTCGTTCGTTCGTTTCGTTTTCGGCTTCGGGACGTGAGAGTCTCCAGTGACAAGTCGAGGTGCAGGAGAAGCTTCCGGAGCTTTGCCTTCAAGCCGAACTTTTGGGGTACGATAAGATAAGGGGACTGACTATCTTAAATGCTCCGGTAAAGCTTTGGTTGACCTGCATGAGTTCCCGTCGCCGGGTCTCCGAGAAAAAACAAAAGAATGGGACAAGAGTCGGAGCAGGGTAGCCGCCGACTCGCCGTGCCTGATCCCTGTGTCACTGCACCACCTAAACAGCAGTGCGATTGGAAGCTCGTGGGCTACTCCCAGGCTGCATACGGATACCTTTAAGCCATAACAAGACTGCTACACCCAAGTCACCCGACAAACCCCTGGAGGACGAAGACTCAGGACCAATCTACATCACATATTTTTCTCAAGTAAAAGGAGCTTTTCAATCTATTACGACCAAATCAAATCCACGCCGCCGCCGACTATGGCAAGCAACGCCAAGTCGAGGTGGGCAGACAGCGAGGAGGACGCAGCCCTGGAAGCAAAACTGAAGCGAGAAAAGGAGGAGAAGAAGCGTCTGAAGGCCGAAAAGGCGCGCAAAGCAGCCGAGGCGGAGCGAATGGCGCAGCAGCCGAGGGCGGCGAGGGCGGCGAGGAGCAGCAATGGCACCGAGAACAACGACGGCGACGACGACGACGACAGTCACAGCGCACGGCCAGCGAAACGGCGCAAGTTCACGCCCGACGCGGAAGACAGGACAGCAGCCAACGGCGATGGTGGTGCTGCACCGCCAGATGCCAAAGAGGGCGCGGCGAAGCTCATGCGCTTCCCCGTCGGCCACTGGGGCAAGTGCCGGAGCGTGGAGAACTACGACAAGCTCAACGATATCGAGGAGGGTACATACGGCTGGGTGTCACGGGCCAAGGAAGCTTCTAGCGGCAAGGTCGTTGCGCTCAAGAGGTTGAAGATTGAACCGAGTGATCGCAATGGGCTGCCGGTGACGGGGTTGCGGGAGATTCAGATCCTGCGAGATTGCAGCCATCGCAATATCGTCAATCTCGAGGAGGTTGTGGTAGGAGATGACACTTCAAAGATTGAAAAGTACGTGGACCATCTTATTTACAAGCCTCGCTTTCTTGGTTATGGCATTACTAACAACGAAGCCGCAGCATCTTTCTAGTACTAGAATTCGTCGAACACGACCTTAAGAGCATCCTAGAAGATATGCCCGAACCCTTCCTCCTCTCCGAAGTCAAAACCCTCCTCCGCCAACTCACCGCCGGCATTGCCTACCTGCACGACAACTGGATCCTCCACCGCGACCTCAAAACCTCGAACCTCCTACTCAACAACCGCGGCCAGCTCAAGATTGCAGACTTTGGCATGGCGCGGTATGTCGGCGACCTAAGCCCGAAGCTGACCCAGCTCGTCGTGACGCTGTGGTACCGCTCGCCCGAGCTGCTCCTCGGCGCCAAGTGCTACGGTAAAGCCGTCGACATGTGGAGCGTGGGCTGCATCTTTGGCGAGCTCCTGACACGGGAGCCGCTGCTGCAGGGCACCAACGAGGTCGACCAGGTGACCAAGATCTTTGAGCTCTGCGGCGTGCCGACGCAGGAGACGTGGCCCTCGTTCCGGAGCCTGCCCAACGCGCGGTCATTGCGGTTTCCGAAGACGCCCAACGCGACGGGGTCCATGATACGGACAAGGTTTACGACGCTGACGAATGCCGGGTGTAAGTTGCTCAACGACCTACTCTCGTTGAACCCGGATTCGAGGCCGTCGGCCAAGGAGATGCTGGAGCACAAATATTTCAGGGAAGATCCGAAGCCCAAGAAGGAGGGTATGTTCCCAACGTTCCCCAGTAAAGCTGGCCAGGAGAAGAGGCGAAGACATGAACCGAATGCTCCCGTGCGTGGGCAGAATGCGGCAGACCTAGGTGACGTCGACTTTAGCGGCATCTTCCAGGGCAGAGATAAGGAAGAGAAAGGTGGCGGATTCTCACTTAGGATGGTGTAGAAGAGTTGATAGTTCATACGGCCATGCTATCAGCCAGTATCATCAATTAAGCTGTATATCAAGATAACACTCATAAACGTCCTGAGTTTACCTATATGCGGAGTCATATTTTGCCCGACCATGCTTCGACACTAAACGCCGCCCTTTGTGTTGTATAAAATGACCACCGTAAATGATTACCGCTGGACTCTTGTTCCTCGCTCTTGTTAGGCCCCCAAAGCAACTAGATATTCAAATATTACAGATGAAATTTTTTGGTCATTATAGAACACGTCATTAAAACATGCCCACTCCCGCCACAAACCATGTGAAACTAGCCACCGTGACGATGCTCATACCGACAGCCATGCCGAGAGCCTTGCTATCGAGACCAGACGCAGCAGAGCACGTTGCGCAGTTCCACTCGTTCAGGGGCTTGTATTCTTGAGCCTTGTACATGCCGAATTTGAAGCTGCTGGAAACGCCCAGATAGCCAGGCTGAGCGGTAGCACTGATGCTCGATTCCGCGTCGAAGATAACCAGAGTGTACTCGTCGTTTCGCAGCGGCGCTGAGGGGTCGGTCGCCTGCACGCTCGAATCCCAGGTAAAGGAGGCGGGCTGAGCAAAGGTCATGTTCTGTGTCAATGTCCAGGTCTGGGCCATGGAAGAGCACGAAACAAGAACATCAATGGCTGTAGGAGAGGCCTGAAGGTCTGTGTAGTTCCATCCCCAGGTGACGAAGTCTCCGATTTTGTAGAGGTTGATCGACTGGGCCGTGGCCGCTGGCGTGATCATGGTAATGCCACCAGCCGGGTCTGTGTCATCGAAAGAGGTCGACTTGGACTTGCTGGTGCCGGTCTTGGTGCCAGTGCCCGTCTCAGTGCCTGTAGGAAGCTTTGCGGTGTTGAGGTTGGTGGTCTTCGCACCGCCAGTGTTCGTTTCCTGTGCCGTTCCTGATGCCGATGCTGTGGCCGCAGTCTTAGCAGTTGCGGTCTGGGTTGCGGCGGCTGCTGAGTAGAGTTAGCCATAGAGGTTCACGAACACAACGTGACGACGGGAGGGTCCCGGGGAAACGTAGCACGACATACCAGTTGAGGATTCATCATTTTGCCGCACAACCAGGGCATCGACATCTGGAAGCCACTTGGGCCAGGCGGAGGCCAGAGGAGTAAAGACGGCAAGGCCGAGAGCGAGAGACTGAACGGCCTTCATTTTGATGTGGGAGGAAGTAGATTCTTGGTGAAATTTGCGAGGGAGTACAGAAGATGAAGACGAGGTTCCTAGCGGGAGGACGTCGTCGAGGCCTTCAAAATTAACCACAATAGGTCAACAAGCGAGTGCAGTCAGTCGAGAAGGGCGTCCTTGATGCCTTTCGATATTCGGTATTGATTTGTCGTGGTTGAGGAGATGGTATCGGATCGTGGCCACCCCTTTTTTCGCACGGTAAATTCGCAATAACAAAACCCGGGGGTTGTCGTTGGGTTGTTGACCTCGAGTAATTCGGGAGCTCGGGAGACTTGTGTTTGGTTTGTGAATTCCTCCTCTTTCAATAAACGACCATAAAACGAGCGGGTTGAATCAAGCGAGTGTCGATGTTTCGAATTAAACAGCAAAAAAGCGGACGTGAAGAAAGGGCGTTTGAATTGCTGCTGGGAAGCAAATCACATCAGGTTGGGAGGAAAGAGGAGTCGACCAGGAGAGGGAGAAAGTAGACTACTAGAGGCATCAGCAGGCAGGCTAACTAAGAAGGCGCTGGAATGGGAGGAGAGATTTCGGGGCGGGTTCAACATGAGGGAACGTGGATGGGGCTCCGATTGATTAGGTTTGGTGGATCCACAGCAACCAAGGCCCATCCCCCGAATGTCCAAGTGACTCTCGGGGGGGGGTGAAAGGGGGGATTTCCCAGCGTCTCTCCGAAGCTCCAGGGGAAGTTTGGCCCTTTGGGTGGTAGCCCAACGTTGCGAGTTTGGCTAAGGCGCGTTAAGGTAAGGTAAGGTAGTGACGGAATCATGGCACGGGCAAGGCCGTAATCCGTATGAACGAAAAAATAACAATAAAAATGGGAATGCAGGGCAACGCGATGCAGTAGGGTACCTAGGGAACAGGGGCGAAGCCTGTTAGACCACACACCAATGCATTGAAAAAGATGGGGTGGCACAGCACAGCCCGGGCTGAGAAGAGGACATCGGACCAGTCAGCAAGGGAATCCAGCCAAACAGAGGACTGGAAACAATATTGTCGGCCGGGGCATCCAATGCAGAAAAAAATAAACCTGCATACGGAATACATCCAGAGGCACGAGAGGATGGGTTGTGAACCTAAGTCACAATAGACAATGGTCAGGCACAGAAACAGCCCGGCCTTCTAACTTCTTAGGCCACCTCACCCAGCCGCCATATTCCAACCGTCTTCCAGTCTCTTTCTCTCTTTCTACGCAGTACCAGTACCTACCTCCTCGCACTAAGGATCTTTAGTTCTACCGCCTAACGTATGGACATGCCGTAGGCCTTCCTCGGCTTGCATCCCCGCCACCCAAAGCGTTGGTCCCGGCCTCTTTTTTTTTTCTTTTTTTTTTTTCTTTCCAGCTCAAGAGCGAGGCCTACTGGCAAGTACTCAGGAAGACCTCGGTTTGTATGCATGGCAATTGGAAGAGTCCGAACCGTGTTGTACAATACATCAATGCAAGGCTTATGGGTAATCGGTGCATACCTATCAATACAGATTCATATACCTATCCAAGGTACCTTGTCTTCAAGGTACCCAGGTATCTACGGAGTACTCACCTAAGCGTGAGGTACCTTACCATAAAAAGGAAAGAACGGACGTGAGCGTCACTGACTTGGAGGTTGGCCGCTGGCGACCTGGTGCATCGGGTTGAGCAGGTGGGATCCACCCGGCACATCGTATTCCTTCCCCCTCGTGTTGACATCCTCTAAAAATAATTACTCGGGGACACGCGCCTCCACATCTTCAATCAATCATGAGACTGAGGCGAGACCGATAGCCAGCCGCTTACATCCGTTCCTGATGATTTGTAGCCATTACGGTATCGCCTTCTGATTAATGATTTCTTCTGAATAATCAGACAGCACATCTACCTGAACACATGCCCGAGACTTCAAGCCGCTATAGCCATCGCATCGCCACCCTCAATGTGAGGTGAGCATCCCGTCGGATCTCCTCACGGGTCCCCCAACCCCCGACCCGAGTAGGTAGTAAAGCCACCAACAGAAAATTCCGTCGTGTTGTCCAGCAGGCTGTCTTAAGCCAGCTTGGGTTTTCGCAAGCATAGCCAAGCCGTCTAGCTACGTACACAAGGCCATGAGGGAGTCATCGAGAGGCTCTCCGCCTCTCACAGTTTCGGACCTTAACATGCTGGTGGCTCGTAACACCACCTAAGAGTTACCTCCACTCAGCCCGACATCCCGTAGGTACCGACTATGCATATCCGTACACAGTACGGATAGACAGTACAGAGAAATGAGGACTTGGAATAAGGTCGTCAGCGTTTGCTACTTGGCCTCGGTGATGCAGAGTCGCAGGGTCTTGGCCCGCTTTGCATCAATTCTCAGCAGGTTTTTGCGTACACATCATGCCTGCACAGAGTTAATTTGCCGTGCCAATCTTTCGTCCTTGTTGGACCGTTTTCGTGCATGCGACCGAGCGAGCCTGCAAGTTCTGCATTAATACTTATTAGTGGCATACATTCCGACTAAGTGCAAACTTCTCCCGTCCCGCTAGGATCGGCGTTCAAAGTCTGGATGCCCATGTCGTGATCCCTGGGACGGTTGCTACAATCAACCAGGAGTTCCCAGCTTCGTGCGGCGAACGGTTCCGTCATTGAAACCCTCTCTTTTTTGCGGAACCTCACTAAGAAACTGACTGCACCAGTGGTTCAGTCAATCGCTCCAATGTAGTGTATCAAGCAAAGCCCAATCGTGCCAGTGTGGGTGCTTCTCCAAACCCGTCCCTGTACTCCGAGACATATAGAGGTTCAGAAGATGGCACAAGGTGATGAGTTATCAAGACCTTGCCTGACGATGAGTTGATACAACTGATTCAAGGACAGTTTGTATGCTAAGGCAGCTGGGGCTCCGTCAATTAAACTGAGCATCCCTCCACATTACTGGGAGCCACCACGCCATCGACAACGATCCGTTCCTCGTCTAATTTGGATATACATGCCAGTCAATATCGCCGTCACAAAACCAACCCTACCATACTTGACTGGCTTTCGATGCATATCAGTGTAGCCTCTAGCACAGGCAACGGTGTTTAACAAGGCAAGGCTCCTGTACGGTGCCAGAGTTTTGCGTCTGTACAGCTTCGGGATTATTCCAGTTGGGTTCGTGACAGTAAACCTCAAACACCAGAGTATCCCTACAATGGCTCTCTCGCCCAATCCAGGGGCCCCTTCGTTGTGTTGTGTCCAGTCAAGGGGCTTCCGTTCTCCGACATTGAGTTTGAGTAACAAGGGACGAGGTTTGGACGACTCGAGACTTCCCGCCGGATGACGTGCCGCCTCCAGGGACCACCGGCAGTCCTTCTCCCATCCCCGGGAACTGCTGACCTGGATGGATGCTGGATTGCACTTCAACTCACCAAACGATGGGCAGATGAGTGGAGCACGAGCCACCACCTTAGGTTCGATGAAGAGGATGAACTGCCTGAGGTGCGCGCCACAGTCTGTTCTTATCGATAAGATGATAAGGAAGGACCCATAGGCATTGTGGCGCCCTCCCCGGCAGGCACCCCAAGTACCTATGTACCGCTCTCTTGGTGCCTGCCTCACCTGCACCTACCGATCCGCGACTACCTCAGCATCGCGCGCCAGAATTATTTCTCCAACTCGAAAGTTTTACTGACCTTGGTCAATTGGCTTCGAGGATTATACAGAAGCTATGGCGTCTACAAATGATTCCATGGTCTCCATCGACCGGGTTTATCTGGACACCCTCATCAGAAGGTAAGAACTCTCACTTCCATGCAAGTTGTACCTAGCTCGCGCTAGCAACCAAGCACGACCGACGAAGAATACCTCACGACGAAAGCTAACTACTCGAACAGAGCTCAGTTAGTATGTCTTACAGTCTTACACGGCTGACCATCCTTCTTCGCTTCCTTCATCCTTGTAAGGATCGCTAACATAGCCTGCTTCAAGAACGCCGATAATGATCCTAACTCAAGTTACCTCACCATCACAATTACCCGCGCCGAGCATGACGTCCTTGTCAAAAAGGCTCGAGAATTCGGTATGCCCACAGAATATACGATGCGCAACTTCTTGTGGGCATCAAACCCCCGATTTTTCTCTAGTTAATGACTTCTCAATAGCAAACTTGCGCCGCAACCTCGTGCGAGGTGGTGTAACGGAAGCTACCCTTGCTGTAAGTCGAGGTCTCCACATTTGACCCCAGTTGACGATCCCAGCTAAGCAATGAGCTTCTAGGTATTGACCTGTGACGAGTCCAACTATCAAGAGGATGGTGTTGGAGAGCAGACCACTTCACCATCCGAGGCTCCTCAGAACAAGACTCAACGCCGAGTCAGCCAGCCACGCGTAAAGGCGGCCACGGCTACGCGAGGAAACCAAATCTCAAGCCGACCTACCATCCAGCAACCTGTCAAGCATGAGTGGGCTGAGGAGGAGCCCGTCATCCTCGACGAATCAGAGTCGACAATTTCTCCTGTTGAGCCTGAGCCTAAGCCTGAACATGGGTTTGGGAATCAAAATGATACCCAGTCGCCCATGCGGCCTCAGTTCGAGCGCTTGGCCACCAGGACCATCTTTATCTCGAACCTCGCCGAAGGCACAACTCATGCTGATATCGTTGATGTTGTTCGTGGTGGTCAGCTTCTGGACATCTTCATAAGACCCCATGACCGGAATGCCCATGTGTCTTTCCTACATGGCACGGACGCAGCGGCCTTCCTTGAGCATAGCCGGCGTCATGATCTGTACATCAGGCAGAAAAGAGTAAGCTACGCCGTTCCGTTTCCAGCGTCATGTTTGACTAATGACAATAACAGGTTGACGTTCGATGGGCTGATCGACACTTCAATTTGCCCGGTCATGTTGCGAGCAAGCTCGGCACTGGTGCTACCCGCAATCTCATCATTCGACGATGCGACCCGAAGCTCACTGAGGAGGAGATCCGCGATGACATGGAGCACATCCACAATTTGATTGTCATCACTGTCAGGTTCCGTGGTGGAAGCTGCTACATCAACACGAACTCAGTGCACAATGCCATGTTTGCGCGGACCTGCATGATGAGTCGATTGTGAGTCGGACTCTTCGTTTGATATAATTGCCCTGGAGACTTACACATCAGCAGCAAATACAAGGGATCTAGGATCGAGTGGGGTGTCGATGAGTGTGCGCAGCCCTTGCCAGCCGAACCTCAGCGAATCCAGACTCAAGTACCCCCGACCAGACGCCCAATGAATCCTATGGCCAACCGTTTCGAGCTTTTGAAGTTGGACAAGGCTGAGGAGGACGAGGAAAACATTCGGCCAGAGTTTCACACAAGCTCCCGGCTGAAGATTGTGGTTTGATGATGAATAGCGAAGTCCGGATCCCGTACGATTCTCAGCAGACTTGAGATTGGGGGCGAAGTTTGACAGCTCCTTGGTATTATTTTGGTCGTTCGAGCCTTTGAGTCTTTGTTTTGTTGGTATTTTGGGGAAAAATTCCGCAACGTTTCTTGGCGGGAGGGTAGTAAGGAGTTCTAGAGATACCCTACGCTTTGAGTGTATTTGCCGTTTCGTTACAGGACGCGTTGTCCGCCAGTTTTCGATTCCATCTACGAAGACGGAGTAGACCTCTGGCCAAATCACAGAACGGTTGGTTCTTTGGCATCAATGAAAGCATCAAATAGCAAAGTACTACTCGTGACTGCTGCACCTCTGCCTACTTCCTAAATAACAGTGGGACGTTTCAGTAGAAGGCTATTAATTCTACTCCTGATTCCTGGCCTGACGATGAAAGGTCATGATTCGGGATCTCTCGCGTTCTCAGTTTCTCATAGCTGATGGGCTCTGAGTCTCCGTAATGTCTCATCTGCTATGATAGAAAAGGCACTGGCTTGACTCTTCATGAGTACAGGACCGACGCCCCAATAGGTAGGTTCAATCCTGTACCAAGCTCCCTTCCCAAGATGAATCCCCTGTGTATTCCATAGGCTAGATGGTATATAGGCCACAGGTTCGAAGGAGTGAGCATCTCCCCAGCCCTATCCGACTCGGCTGGGGCCACGTAGCCAGGTGGTTAAACTGGTAGAAGAAACTGGGACGCCGGTTTTTCGTAGGCATGAGGTTCAACACCCCATGACCGAGCTTTTTTTTGGATCAAATTGTCCATGTTTTTCTACGATGGCCCAGCCTGCTGTTCTGGTGATGGACCACAAAGTGCCGGGACGTAGGTCATGGCCCCAAGAATCATCCATACACATTGCCCGTGACTAGTTGGTATTATATCTTCTAATTCTCTATCCCACACAGCTGCAGCTTCATAGCCCTTCGATCTCACATTGTGGGAAAGTGTCCTAGATATTATATAAGCAGTGAATAGAGAGAGTAGTTGTGCCTTCCATGTCTGAACACCGTCAAGCTTATACCTCCCTACCAGGCTCTGCATCATTCTAGACAGAAAGACCGACTATCACATGGATTAGTGGGAGACCATGAATGGCCGTATACCTCATTGATAGAGTGAATTTCAAAAACAAATCCAGTCCACATGTATTCTCCCATGTCCGTGATTACTACCCAGCCAAATCACAAAGCAGAACATAACCCCTTTCACGAAAACACACCAAAAACAACATCCCCCTCAGATAACATTCCAAGCCTGGTCAATGGGCAAAATAACCCCGTTAATTGTCCTGGCCTGGTCCGTCGCCAAAAACACCACCGACTGCGCGACCTCGAGCGGCGTGATATTCGGCGTCGACTCAGACGCCTGCGCATGGAGCGCATGAACGGGCTCAACCTGTGCGTAGGCCTCGGCATCGAAGCCCTCGTCTCCATCCCCGTCCCCTCCGTGACCTGCGGCAATGGCCTTGCCGATACGGGAGTCAATGGCGCCGGGGAGTACCGCATTGCACCTGATGCCTTCCTTGCGAAAACGCCATGCCACGTTTTTGGTTGCGCCAATCTGCCATCTCAGGGGTATCAGCAGCTATGATTCCAACAGTCTCCTGTCAAGAGGTTTCTCCAGTGAAGAGATCCATGGGTGAAGAAAAAAGAAAGGGATCCACGAACAAGACCGTGTTTGCTGCACGTGTACGCTATCCCAGCCACAGCCCCCGAGACGCCGGCCGTGCTGGCGACGTTGACAATGACGCCCGACTTCTTCTCGAGCATAAAGGGGATCACCGCTCTCATCATCTTGACCGGGACTGTGAGGTTGACGGCCATTACCCGGTCCCATTCCGAGTCCGTCACGCCGTCGGCGCTGCTAAACGATCCCATCACGCCCGCAACATTGACGAGCAAGTCGATACGTCCTCTAAGATTCTCTTGTTAGTCCATCGTGTCTCCCGTCATTTACCCCCCTCCATCCTTCTGACCCAAGCCCCTTAAAGAATAGGAAAAAACTCACCCAAAAGAAGCAACAGCAGCATACACCCCATCCTCACAAGCCCTCGCCTCCGTGAGATCGGCACGGTGGAAATGGAACCGGCCATGATCCGCCTCCTGGAGCAGAGCGTAGTTGAACTCGCGCGCGTCGAGCCCGCAGACCGAGTACTGGTGCGCGAGGAGAAGCTGGGCGCACGCGAGACCCACGCCCGAGCCGCACCCTGTGACGACGGCGACTTTGCCGAAGCCCACGGGGTCGATGGTCTTGGGCGGGATGAAGAGGGCGTCTGGGGAGGTTGTGAAGAACATTGCTTGCTCTTGTGATTTCCTCACGGCTTCCTTTCTGCGGTCTGGGTCTAGGTTTGGGTCGGGGAGAGCGGGCCACGTACGTATGTTTGATAACCTTGGATGTGGTGCTTGCGGTAAGGTGATTTGATAAAAATCACTCTTCTTCTCCACGGTCTATAGTGTGCTGTTCTTTGACTTCTTATGCCATCTCGCTTCTGAAGCTAAGTGGTGTCATCGGCGTGCCTAGAAGACAACCAGACCTGAACGAACCTTGGATGATTCGATGGGAAATCACGGCGCACACTGAGTCCTGCTATAACTCAGCTCGGTGTATCTCGTCCCAGACGTCTCAAAGTAGGCTTCTGCTGGACTGCTATGCTCCCCTTGGTCATGTGGCTCATACCGAGAGCGGCGAAGAGGCAAATAAGCGAAATAGAGGACCAAAGAACCGTCCCACGCAGCATCAGACCACTTTTCGATCGGGGTAACGAAAGCATACTTACCATCCTACGGAGTACCTTGGTCGGTATGGACTCATGGACGAGTTCACCCTGACAAGTAGACCGGTGCGGGCCGCTCTTGAAATATCACGCCACGGCGCACGGCTGGAAACGGGATGACAGCCACGTGGGATCGCGCGGGGGCGGGGTTTGAAAGGTGAGCCCATGTAGGTATCAAGGCGCTTCTCCGTCACCTCGAGCATTACCATGTGAAGTGTAGGCAACGTGGCATATTTACTATCTGAAGCATTGGACCCAATGGCTATTGCGAAACTGGTAAATGAGGTGTGTCCCAGGGTATAGTTTTCCTGCCTCGATATCCCATCCTGTACCTTGGCCCTTCTCCCCCAAGCAATGCTTTGCCACCTGAAGAAACGTTTGGAATCCCATCAACCCGTCGCAATGCAACACCGAAAGTAAAAGAAGTAAAAAAAACACAAAACAAACGTGTACCCCGGGGAAAATTGCGCGATGAACTCCCGCATTCCTTCTCGCCTGTTCACCCTGGTACTGTTCAATGAGGCCGGCTGGACCCTCACTTGCCGTTATTCGCAACTGATGCCAAGTACCCAAGCAGAAAGCTCCGATCGGCAGGAGAGATCGGTGTCTGACTGCCGCGTCGGGACTCTGACAGGCCCTCCGGAGCACCCTGGCCACTTGCAGAGGCCAGAGAAGCCACCCGAGATCGCATGCTGCCGTCCGGAGCCATCATCTCTCTAGCCTTCCCCTTATCCTCAGGAGCAAAGCCAGGCCCGGGGCTGGGCGATTGGGGTTTGCCGAAAAGGGAAAGGAGCTTCTGCCTCTGTTCGGGGGGCATCTGTGACTTCTGCTGCAGCCCAGCAGGTGCCGGGAGAGCGGATGCTGACGGCGGGCTGGCCAAACTGACCGGCTTGTCGACCCCGAAGACCGAGGCTAGAGCAGGCGCACGAGGGCCAACGGGTTTGCTCATGTTTTCGGCTCGCTGGAGGATCTGATTTGGGTGCATTTGAGGCGAGTGATTATTATATGTGGCGGAATTGTTATTCGCGCCTTGGTGATAGAGACCTCTGTTCTCCATCGTTCTCGGGCTATTACCCCCAATAGTCTGAGGGCTTCTGTGCTCTTGCTTGCCAAGCTGAGATTGGAGCGATAAAGCTTGAAAGGGTATTTGAGACGTCGGATCTGAAGCGCTTTGAGGTGGTCTGCTAAGAGGACTGCTTGAAACTGGCTGAACTCCACGGAACACGGGACTGGAAATCTCCTGATTACTACTCTTTACGGTCGAGATTCCCTTTAAGAGAGCAGCGCTCGCGGTAGTTCCAGGTAATTCAACAGGCTGGTTGGCTGGTGGGGAGCTAACTTCAGGGTTCTTGAACATTGAGAGGAGAGCAGATCGATGCGCAGGATCGACAGGCTGCTGAGCCCTCATGGATGGACTTCCTTGAGGATGGGCTGCGCCTGCTCCCGGAATGCTGGGCGGTTGAGGGTACGCTTGAGAAGCTCCATTTCCATGAAGCCCGATTTGTGACTGTCCCTGCCCCTGAGGTGCGGATCCGTAGGGCTGCTGATTGGCCTGGCGAGCCTTGTCCGGACTAGCTGTTCTTGTGTCCGACTTGAGCACTCCCAGCAAAGCCATTGAGTGGTTAGAAAGCTGGCTGCTAGGCGGCTTCGGCTGATACATCATGCCCTGGCCTTGCTGCTGGAAGTGTGCTTGTTGGTACTGGGCATTCGCCATGGATTGGTTGACAGTCCCCTGCGCGTGTTGAGGGGGCGGCGGGGGTGTGCCGTCGGCAAACGCATTTCGGTTCAGTAGAATCTTTTGAGCTTGAGGCGGCAATGGCTGTGGGTGCCTCAGGGGTGGCTGTGGCAGATGAGCAGGGCCACCCATCATCGCAGGACCGTACTGCCTGGCTTGAGGATGAGCCGAGCCAGCATTCCCGGGCTGCTGGAACGCCCAAGCCTGTGGTGTCCCATCTGGACCGATGGGGAAAGCCGGCGGAGCTTGATAACTCGCCAGCGGTGCCCGTTGCTGAGGATGATGTTGACCATGAGGGCTTCGAGGCTGGGGAGCCTGTCTTATAGTATGATCCAGGGGCGTATGAGGGAGCTGCGAGACTGGAACACCCTGAGCGACTGCTTGATTCTTGGCCTGGAGGATAGCGAGCAACGATGCGCCCTTATCTGCTCCAATATCCGGAGAAGCTGGTTTCGATGTTGCTTGCGCTGCCGTCGGATGGACCTTCAGTAGACGCTGCAATTCCTGTGTTGCACCTTCAAGAGTATCGAGGCCTGGCGTCCGAGTCGATACGTCGGTCGCGGGTTCGGTTTGCCAAACTTCGTCTTCAGTGACAGGCTCCTCGTGAAGAGAGTACGGGTTGAAGTGCGCCTCGTTGGCAGCCTTGACAGCATCCTTTCTCTTTTGCTGCACGACCCATTTCTTCAAAGGAACCAGAAAGGGTGCAACCATGTAGAACTTGTTTGCATTGGCAGCAGCGGCGGCTTCGTTTTGAGGCTGATTTCCTTTCTTCCGAAAGGCAGGTAGCTCAGATAGTTTATACCACTGGATCTTGCTGATCTCCTTTCTCGTTCGCGGCTCGAAGTGAGTGTCCATCGGTACGTCGCGGAAGACGTATAGTCTCAACTGCTGCTCTCTCATGGTGACCTCGATATACTTTACGTCGTCTCTGTTCTTGGGAACCAGGCCAGCAGCGTGCAAATCGTATCCTGTCTCCTCGTATACCTCACGCACGGCGCATTCAAGATCGTCCTCGTCTTTGTTGATCTTTCCACGGGGGAAACTCCAGTTGGCGCCCTTCTTCCAGCCTTTGACCAAGATTGTCGAATCCATAGCCTCATTGAGCATGATGGCTCCCCTCACAGGGACTCGAGTCTTGTACTGCAGGAACTCCTCAAAAGCCTTTGTATGATTCTCGACCGAAAATGGAGCTAGCAAGGGACAATGTTGGAAGATTCGAAGACTGAAACTTCGAAGTGTCATTGAAGGAAGCGTGGGGTCAAGGGGTCGGACGAAGTCTTCGTAGAACCATTGTGCCTCCTCTATTTGGAAGCAGATGCGAGCAACGGACGATAGGTCTTCTTCAGGTAGGTTGATGATAAATCGGACACATAGATCGTCCAACCCTATTTACTGTTAGTCCTGCCGCAGCGACTGACATGAGTTGATGGCGCAAGGCTGCGGTAGCTATCGCCGCGTCGCTTCCAAAGTGTGGGGTAACCAACAATCCTCTAATTGCATCTTTTCTTCGGCCATTTTGCGCGATGGCTGATAGCATGTCCCAGGGACAATGTCTCTATTTTAGTCAGGTGTGCCTGGTGAGGGAGTGAAGGTGGCGAAAAGCTCCTGGCAACGAGTCTGTATTGAAGTCGAGGTCGAGGTGCGGAGCGGTTGCATGGTACGGAAGGAGAGGCTTGGGGTTTGGTCGGGCTCGATGCTTTCCGCTTGCGACCGGAATGCGCGTGCTGCAACGAGAATCGGCAGCGACGAGCAATTCAGCGGATCAAGGTGGAGAAAGTTGCTGGACAGGTATGGCTACCTAGGGATGTGGTGTGTTTGCTGTTTGGAGCGGGTGCGCTGACAAGCGGCCTCTCGGATGTGGTGATGATTTGGAGTTTTGGGTGAGGTAGGATGCGGAGTAGTGACGGGCACTGCACTCTTTGTTGACGATGGCAGATACTGCAACGTCAGGCAGCTAAGGTAAGGAAGGTACGTAAGGTAGCTGGCATACCCGTGGACCCGTTCCTCGAGATGCCTGACTGGACGTGGCAGATGCCGTGGTGGTTGCCAGCTGTTAAGCGAGCTCGTGATTGGGCGTGACTTCCCCAGCTCCGCACATGTCAAACAACGCACTGTCTCATCTCGCGTCAAATTGGTGGCAGCTACAGTGCGCATGGAGTTCACGGGCAAACTGTTATGACACAGCCCGTCTCCAGCTTGTCAAACCACATCAGATCAACACCTTCGCTTCCATCCGGTCTCGACCGGCCCCTGTCAGCTATATGTTGCCTCAACTGTTGAAGGAAATAAGCATGCAGGCCAACAGGCAAGCTCCCTCAATGGCTTTTCATCCTATTACAATTTTCTCTTGATGGAATGCACCCGAGAGGTGGGAGCTTCCTTGATACAAGGGGCGAACTTTGAAGATTCTGGAGAAGGCACAGCCACGATATGGCTGTGCACGCATATCACTCGCCACACTTGCGTGGCTGGACCGCCGTCAGTACCGAACCTCTCACCCATCCCGGCGGGTTTGTTCTCCCACTCAAGTGCTGAGTCTGCTGGCATGACAAAGTCCTGGGAAGTGTGCTGCATTGCATTCAATTCAGGGCCATTGAAGACCAGTCGCGGCGCACGCTCATTGGAGACCAGCCAACTGGCCGCTGCAGCATGATGTGAAACGACTACGGTCTAGCCTGCTCAGACCCCACTGAAGAGGCCTCTCGGAACTGAGGCAAGTGCATTGGCGTGCAGTGACCGACAAAATTACATCATGATGGTAGTCTGGTCCCCTGACTTGTCAAAACAGGAATTCTCGGCGCCCAAGGGACCAACCTCTTGTTGTGCAACTTAGCAGCCACGCAGTTTAGCTACGAACCAACCTACGTAGTGTGCAGTAAACGCAGGAGGCAACTTGATCTACCATATCACCCATACAACCCATCCATGCTATACCTTGGCAGCTCGGACCTTGCCAGCCAGCTTCCCAGCTTTTTTCCTCAATACCTTACCTACTTATATCACCAAGACCGTTCCTCTCGCTCGGTTGCAGCAGCCGTCTTGGAAACTCTTGACCCTCATCAACCTTACCTTCAGAATCACCTACTCGCTTGCTTAGGTATTCTCACTTCAACCTCCGCCAAGAGTACACAGGACCGCATTGCCAAAGGCTTTGACAACAACGGTCCCGACGAGCCTGTCTCTGTCTGTCTCAGTGCGCCACTCATCACTAACAGTGACTGGGAAACACCGCTCTTCGCAATCCGGTCCGGCACTTCATCAACAATACCACTGCAAACATGGCCAGTCTTATCGCCAAGTGGGTCAGCAAGAAGATTCTTGCTGAGAGGGTTGAAAACAAATTTGGCCGCGAGGTATGCCATCTTAAGCAGCATGGCATTTGGACCCTGCACTCACCCGCGAGACTGTGGATCCACAAACAAGAGTACCATACTGACCTCATCACCAGGACCCTTATTTTGAAAGCGTCCCCGCCACCAGACTTGATGGTTCCCCCAACGGAAAGGTCAAGAAGCGCAGAAAGGCTTTGCCGCCTGGCCTCTCCAAGCAAGATGGCGAAGTCTTGACCAAAGTCAAGAGACGAGCCTACCGTCTCGATCAGTCGCTTTTCAGTTGCTGTGGAGTTAAATTCGGATGGGGTAGCGTCATCGGCTTGGTTCCTGCGTAAGTACCTGCCCTCCCCTGCTGCTGCTGCTGCTGCATCACCCCGCACTCCCCATTCGGCTTATCGACGAGACAACGACTAACATCATGTTGACTGTAGTGTTGGTGATGTTCTCGATGCTTTCATGGCCATGATGGTGTTCAGAACCTGCTCTAAGGTCGAAGGTGGACTCCCAAACTCGGTCAAATCTCAGATGATGTTTAACATCATTATTGATTTCGTCATTGGCCTGGTCCCATTCGTGGGCGACATTGCCGATGCTGCTTTCCGCGCCAACACCAAGAACGCCATTCTCCTCGAGGAGCATCTGCGCGAAAAGGGGAAGAAGAACATGAAGCGCAGCGGGACACCCATTCCCGCAATCGACCCGAGTGAAGCAGATGAATGGGATCGCTTGCAAGGCGACCGCACCCCGCCCGAGTACGTCAGCCGTGAGCCTTCTCGCAATGGACACATGTCAGCAAGTCGCCATGAACGTGCTCCGACTGCTCCAGCCGCCGCTGCAGTCAGAGAGGAGCGCTCTGGCGGTCGAGGCTGGTTTGGCTTCGGAGGTCGCTCGAGGGTTGACGACGATGTTGAGGCGGCTCGCGATCCCAGAGACAGACCTACTCGTCAATCGCGTCGTTAGACTACCGGCTGCTCGAGGGATTCTTTCACAAGAGGAATAGCCGAGGGTCAGAATTGGCGATGAAGACATATGGTCAGGTTGTCGAAATTCGCGGTGGCTGGGAAGCACGCCCAGCGTTTACGTGTACCCGATGGATGGTCAAAGGTCGATAGACACCTGGTCTATCTGGCTCTAGATGCTTGTTTTATGAGGACTTGGACGACGAAGATGAACATGACACGATACCTTTTCTTCTACATACCCACGCTGCTTTAGTTGCACTGTCAGAAGCTTAATACAATCCACAAGAAAAATGTCGCAAAAGGGTTGACGTGTACGTGACACATGAAATTTTTGGATTTGGATTTGAAGCCGACAATCGGCGTCCGTGCCAACGGTCGAATTGACGATCAGACTGGTGATGGCAATTCCGCAAGTCCGCTTCCAATGCATCGACCCGCAGCCGAGAGTCATACAGCCAGGATTTGTCGATGCTTAGACGAGATTACATGGCTGATGAGTCTTGGATGGGCCACTTGGGTTCCACTGAGCTGGAGCTAGGACGTGTTCAGTTTATCAGATCTGATCTGATACCTGACATGGAAGTACCCAGGGGCAGGAGCTTGGAACGCGTCGAGTCGTAACGCCGAGGACGGATCCAGCTCAAAGAAGCGTGTGCAGGGCCGGGAGATGGGGCTTGGAGTATGGAATGGGATATCTGGAACGTGTGTGGCTCGGCCGAAGCTCTCGAGTCTCCGGACAAAGCTTGCTCTGGTTTCCCGGCCATGACATCGTGTTGCCTGGTTGGCGTGCCGGGGGTGGAACGCAAGCGGCCACTTCGGCGTCGTAGCTCGACCCAACTTACAAATGATGAGCATGTCGAAGAGAGAAAAAAGGGCCAAAAAAAGAGGGCTGGGCCTGGCATATCCCGTTCGGGACCACAGTTGGTAGACTTTTCTGCGCCAGGTCTTGGGCACTTTGCAAGGTCTGGAAGTGGAAAGATGAGAAGCGAGACAAGATCCTTCCACTTTGGAACGAAACGCGCCGGCGATGCCCCTGGAAGACGCGCTTTTTAGTGGGGTGGAGGGGAGACGATGGCGCGTGGATTCAGCTTTAAGAGCACCAGGGGACAGTCAGACCAGCTTCCTAGTACTTCCACAGCCACCTGCGAAGAAAGGTACGAGGCTCGAAGTACCTTAGGTACTTAAGGTAGAAAACACGAAAACGCGAATATCCCTGCCCTGTGCTCAACGCGTCCCACTACCTAGCGCTCGGTGCTGGTTGCCCGCTACATAAACTCTGCCTTTCCAGAGTTCCTCTACCAACAACAGACATCTTCTTCACTCCCAATCACGACCATACTACAACCAAAAGACAGACTCCCGACCTCAATTACTCCTTCCAAAGTCTTGTCTTCCTCCTTTTTGCATCCAATCACTCTCATTCTTCCTCCCTCGTCGCATTTCACACACTTCCGCCATGTCTATCGAAGTCACACCGTCCAAGCAGGTTAGTAAACGTCACCACTCGGGTTCACTCGAGCTTGACTCTAGTACACGCGCCTTCCGCAATCGCAATCGCTAACAACTAATTCTCCAGGCCGCTGCTGCCCTCGACTCTTTCAAGATGGAGTCTCCCGTCAAGAAGCTCAACTTCAACCCCGCCGACAAGGAGAACCAGCCCCTCACATCCGACGTTGCCATCGCAACCGAGAAGACCGATGTTCAGACAAAGCCCGCACAAGAGGTCGTGAAGAACGAGAACAAGATCGTTGTCGCTCCCGGCATCAAGGAGCAGGAGAAGGATGAGCCTCTTCTCCAGGAGAACGGCCAGCGTTTCGTTCTCTTCCCTATCAAGTACCATGAGGTATGTGAACGCGTCGCAAGACGCGTAAAGTGGTCTGGTCATTGAACCTCGACTGACTCTCGATTTCTAGATCTGGCAAATGTATAAGAAGGCTGAGGCCTCTTTCTGGACCGCAGAGGAGATTGATCTCTCCAAGGATCTCCACGACTGGAACAACAAGATCAACGATGATGAGAAGTACTTCATCTCTCACATCCTTGCCTTCTTCGCCGCATCCGACGGCATTGTCAACGAGAACCTCGTGGAGCGCTTCTCCGGCGAGGTCCAGGTCCCTGAGGCTCGCTGCTTCTACGGTTTCCAGATCATGATGGAGAACATCCACTCTGAGACCTACTCCCTCCTCATCGACACCTACATCAAGGAGCCTGCGCAGCGCACGTACCTCTTCAACGCCATTGATACCAGTATGTTGACTTAATGCATAACAATATGAAAGCATCGCTAACCCATACCACAGTCCCCGCCATTCGCAAGAAGGCTGACTGGGCCTTGAAGTGGATCAGCGACGATAGCTCATCCTTCGCCCAGCGTCTGGTTGCCTTCGCCGCTGTCGAGGGTATCTTCTTCAGCGGTGCCTTTGCGTCCATCTTCTGGCTCAAGAAGCGTGGTCTCATGCCCGGTCTGACCTTCTCAAACGAGCTCATCTCTCGTGATGAGGGTCTCCACACCGACTTTGCCTGCCTCTTGTACTCTCACCTCAAGCACCGCCCTAGCAAGCAGGTCATTGAGGACATCATTGTTGATGCCGTTAAGATCGAGCAGGAGTTCCTAACCGAGGCTCTGCCTTGCGCTCTCCTCGGCATGAACTCCAACTTGATGAAGCAGTACATTGAGTTCGTTGCCGACCGTCTCTTGGTTGCTCTTGGCAACGACAAGGTCTACAAGTCTTCCAACCCCTTCGACTTCATGGAGAACATCTCCCTTGGCGGCAAGACCAACTTCTTTGAGAAGCGTGTTGCCGATTACCAGAAGGCCGGTGTGCTCAACAGCACCAAGAAGGCGCAAGAAGAGACCAAGGTTGAGGGAGAGAATGGTGGTGACTTCGCGTTCGATGAGGACTTCTAAATCATCGTAGAGCGCCTGAAGTTTCTGTTGGTTCTTTTCCCCATATACCCCTTGTACATTGCACACGCATGGTGTTTGCCAGAGCTTCTTTTCGCACTCTACACTCAAACCCCCTCCCCTCACCTGAGCTTGAGGCCTAGAGCTGTTCCTTTTTCGTACATACATGGCGTTGGCGGGGATCGTTTTTCAGGGAGTTGAAGGTTCCCAAGGACTGGCTGGATGACTGTGGAAAATGGGGCATGAATGTCTTTGATGGATAATGTACCGCAGTGATTCTCTTTTTAGTAATCGCACATGACATAACAACCAAGCTCTTCTCTTTTATGATGTGCTGTGATGCATTGTATTCCCCCGATGGCCTCTCCGGCAGGGCTTTAATATTGCCACTTTGTCGATATTTTCTCATTTTCTTCGCCCTGACCCCTTGATGTATGCGAGTCAGCTTCTCCAAGGCCTTTGAGAGCCCCGTAGACTAGTAATGCCTTCTTCATGATGGGTCTATTGACCACAAGTCACTCAGCATATCGCACCCAACATCCTTACCCAGCAGTGGTATTGCGTCTCCCACTCTTGACTGACTACCCCAGTACCCAAATCCTAGTCCTCATTTCTTGCCCTTCTTCTTCTTCTTTCCACCAGCACCTCCACCACCACCCCCAGTAGCAGCCTGAGGTTTCTCCACGGGCGTCGCCGCGCCGCCCGCCGGCGTGTCCTCCCCCGCTGCGCCTGCGACGTCGGCCATCGGCTCATCCAGCGTCGCCGGTTTCGAGGTGGCCATTGTGCGGCCCAGGGCGCCGAGGCAGGTGACGAGGCGCGAGACCTCGGCGGCCTTTGTGGTGCGGTATTTGAGGGTGACGCCGCTGACCGGGTCAAAGGTTTTGATTACGAGGGAGCCGCGCGGGGGTTTGGCGTCTGTCATGGGGGCGTCTTCTGCGGCGGAGGCATCATCGGTCTTGGTCTTTCGGGGTTTGACTGCTTTGATGGAGTACTTTGTTGTGATGCGAGTCTTGTTGGAAGCGTTTGGAGGTCAGCTGCGAAACGTTCCCCGCCCCCCCTTCGTCCACAGGTTTGGTATGGTGATGGGTGAGCGAGCATGAGGATGTATCAACTTACGGTTGTAGGACGGGCTTGGAGGAGAAGAGACGATTGCTCCAGCCATTCCTGGCTTGTCTTGTAGGTCGGCATTGTGATTTGAGGGGGGGTTGGGTGAGAGGAGAAAAGGCCGTGGCCTTGTGCGGTTGTTCCGTCTGTGTGTGCGCGCGCGAAAGCTATCGTCGATAATGCAACGCCTGAGCAATCGTAGTTCGGTTCCCTCGAGCAGGTAGGTTCGACGAGTGTTCGCTAGGGTGTCATGCGCGCTGTGGTGGTCGGAGTGACGTTTGGTGTCGTGAAGGTGGCCTGGCTTTGGTGGAGGATGCAATTTTGGTGGGGTTCCGCCATCCTTGGTAAGTTAAGGTACATCCGACCTTGCATGCTGGCGAGGAGCAAGTTTAAGCCGCGCACAGGAAGCACACTGAGCTCTACCCCCCCGGGCTCTACTTCACAATTCTCATAAGCAAAGTTAAGAGCCTGAATATTGCCAAGGTTTCAACAAATTCATTGATGTCGACTTTTTTCAACGGGTTGGGTATCTTGTATCCTAGACTCCGAAAATAATTGACCTCTCCAGACCGCCATTTCACAGCTTCTCAATTTCCTACCAACCGCTTCATGCATGAGGATCGGGTACCCAGAATAGCACATCTTGATCCGCCGTCGCAAAGAAGTTGTACCGCGGGTTGAATGCCAACACCGCCGCCTCTCGCTTTTCCTCCAGTACCCAGGTGGCATCGAGGGTCTTGGTCTCGTTCTGAGGCGGGGTCAAGATATCCCAGACCAGGACATCCTTCGGACCACCGCTCAGAACGTAGCGGCCGTCCACAGAGAAGCAACAATCCCCGCTGCCTTCGATTGTGGGCTGGTCCGTCTTCGACATACTGCCATTGATGGTGGTTGCTGTCTCACCAGCCGCCAGCCGCCGGGTTCCGCTCTCGGGCTTGCGCAGGTACGCCTTCAAGCTCCCGTCGAAGGCATCGAGTAGGAAGTGGCCGGGGCCGCGAGTGCCGACCAGTATATGCTTGCCGTCATTCGAAAATTCTAGCTTCGTCCAACCCCTGACTACAAACTGCGAGTCCACGTGTCTGCCGGCGTCGACGAGATCGAAGGTCGCAAAGGGCGCCTTGTCGTAGTTGCGGCAGTCATATAGTAGAACGCTTCCGCTGCTCGTACATGCGACTGCAAAAGTCTGTCCCGACGGGTCGTATGCGGCGAGATACGGAGAGTTGAGGTTCAGTTGACCGCACCATGTTTTCGTCGAGATATCCCAGAGGCGCACAGTATTGTCCTGGCTACAAGAGATGAAGTTATCAGCTCCTGGGTGTACTGTAATATCTGTGACACTCTTCTCGTGGCCCTCGAAGTATCGGATGAAGGAATTGTCGTGGGTAGCCAAGTATCGGATCTGGTCTGGTAGGCATTAGCCATTGTGTGGCGGTGTGAGGGTAAGAGCGCGCCTACCATTTTGCTTCGTACTCGCGTAAATGATGCTGGAGCTCGTATGTGTGAACTTTGCCAGCTTTACGCCGTACTTTTTGCTTAGCAAGTTCTTCTTGTGCTCACCGTCCTTCACGCTGTAAATCTGGATAGTCTCGTCGCTCTCGGAGGTCATGAGAAGCTCGCCCGGGTCGTCGAAGTCGAGGGATAGCACGTGGGGTTGTGGACGGCCATCCTTGATGTCTGATCTTTTAAAAAGCTGGAGAATAGTCAGTAAGAGAGCTCCCAGTACGGGTTTCGGGCTTTTGACTCCTTACCCTTGTTGGGCGGAATGACGATATGACTTCGCTCAACGGTGAGGTATTGTTTGTTGCTAGAGAGCGCGTGATGTTAAGCGAGTTTCCGTTGGCCGGGGTCGACTCGCGATGGTCCAGATCCATCGGCGTCGAAGCCATCATGGGTTCTTTCAGGATTGCGAGGGCTCTACTGGCTCGGAAACCGGCGTCTCAGTCGATTCTGTCGTGAGCTGTGAGCAGACAATGTACTCGTTGCAGGATTTGAAGTTGGCTTAAGAAAGATCAGAATGCTCCTTCCAAAGTATAGTGGGTAAGTGCAGGCGTTCCAAAGGTGCAATTATTATTTTGTGGACGGTAAGTCAGACCGCGTTTTGTCATGCGATGCGACTGGAGGAAACCAAAGAGCTTCCCCAATCCAGTTTCGCGGGGTTGTGGTACTGAGGGAGCTGACTGTGCCACAGTTCTTGCACCACCCCGGGGGTATTTAGGGGAAGTTTTCAGCCACTCCTTATCACAGTCGTTGATAATGCGCGACTTCGCATTGGAAACTGACGTCCTGGCAATGGACCAGATAAGTTAACGCCCCCCTTTTTGGTTAGGATCTGGGGTACTACCGAATACCGATTCAGGCCGCTGTAGCCCGCGAACCCTGCCAATTGGGACCTACAGCCGCCGGGATCGGCAATGGCTATCCACGGCCGTATTGACTTTGAGCAAGAAAAATCCCAATTTCTCTTCCGCGCGCGGAGCTTACTGAGAGACCTGTAGCCCCGGTAAAAGAGTCAACCCAGTCACGTCAACCCAGTGCCAGCCCGACGGAACTCAGTCCCTATCGCAATCACATTGCCAACTTCCTCTCTAGAGTTGCGCGCATTACGGCGAACGGGTTCCTGACAGGTAGACTATGTAAGAATCTGCCCAGACCTTAGCATATGTCCATATTGACTGGCTATTGGCCTGCCACAACGTCAATGTTGCTGACCCGCGCTGTTCCGTTATTTTAGGTACTAGCATTCCGAGATCGCGGTGTCACTCTTTTTCTCTTTCTCTCTCTCCTTCCGAACGAAACCCGACTATCAGAGGAGTCGCCATTACCAGCTACCAGCATCTTACACCTCACCGATACCCGTTTCATTCTTATCTTTGCGACAAGACCAATTGACACCATGTCAACAACTCTTGGGCAAGTCATGGCCCGCAGTTCGACATCCGCAAGACCAGCGAGGCTAACCTTCGCAACAGCGCCTTCATCGCCGGCGGCATTGCCGCCTGCGGCGCTGTAACGGCCACGCATCCCTTCGAGACTGTCAAGATCCGGTGCGTCTGATAGCGACGACGCTCGCTCCCTTCCCGCTCCCTGCCGCCGGCAACGCGCTGACCCCTCCCTCCGATGTGTGTAGAATGCAGTTGCAAGGAGAACTGAAGGACAAGGGACACCAGCCGCATCAGTACAGAGGCCCTCTGCAGGGCGTATCTGTTATCGTGCGCAACGAGGGCGTGAAAGGAATATACCGCGGTATCGGCTGCGCGTATATCTACCAAGTCCTGCTCAACGGATGCCGTCTTGGATTCTACGAGCCCATGCGCGAAACCCTGTCGACTCTCATCTTCAAGGATGGTAAGACGCAGAGCTTGGGCATCAACATGGCTTGCGGTGCTGGATCAGGAATCATGGGTGCCGCCGCCGGCAGCCCTTTCTTCCTCGTCAAGACACGGTTACAGAGCTACTCCCCCTTCATGCCCACCGGCACACAACACAAATACCGCAATGCCTGGAACGGTATGACCTCAATCTACGGCGCCGAAGGCATTCGGGGACTCTACCGTGGTGTCGGTGCAGCTATGATTAGGACGGGTTTCGGTAGCTCCGTGCAGCTCCCCACCTACTTCTTCGCCAAGCGGAGACTGGTCCGCCACTTGGGTATGGAAGAGGGTCTGCCTCTTCATCTTGCTAGCAGTACCGTCAGCGGTTTCGTTGTTTGCTGCGTGATGCATCCTCCTGGTAAGTTAACTTACTATTCACGTGCGTTTCCTCGCGTACTAATACTCGCGGTAGACACCATCATGTCTCGTCTGTACAACCAAAACGGAAACCTCTACAAGGGCGTCTTCGACTGCCTGGCCAAGACCGTCCGCACTGAAGGCTTCTTGGCTATTTACAAGGGTTTCCTGCCTCACTTGGCTAGAATCCTTCCCCACACCATCCTTACCCTGACCCTGGCGGAACAGACAAACAAGCTGATGAGAAAGCTCGAAGACCGCATTCTGCCTTCGGCTACCATCCAAACCCCATGATCAACTATTGATCTTGTACCTATTAAATCAGCGTTCCTTGCATATATGGAGTTAAAAATGAGCTGGGTAGATGGGGGTGGAAATGTCGCGAGCCGGGGATCGGCTTCTAGAGAACACAGGGGGTGGTTAGGATAGTGTTGAGGCAGAATACGGGTCAGAAATCACGCTAGAGAGGCCGGCCGGGGAGGGTGCTTTGAACGCGCATCTTTCTGTTCGATCTATCCATATATAGACCGTTCGCATCCATAACATAGTTTCCCTGCAGTGCGCTTCCTACTGTCGTCAATGTCCTCTCCAATCTCACCCTTCCACCGGGCATCGCCCTGTGCGTCTACATCCATGCTGCAGACCGCACACGCATCGCCGTCGCTCTCTCTTGTCAGTTTACCACTGGTACGTACGACATTGGCGACGACGGAGGGATAGCTCTCCTCCACCTCCTCAAAGTACCGCGCCATCACGTCCTCGATACTGAGCTCCTTGTGCGAAACAACAGCGTTGCTGCTGGGCCCCGCTTCCTGGGCGAGGTCCTTGAGAGATGGTATCAAACCCGCGTATGTGATGACCTCCCGCCTGAAAACGTCTCGAAGGAGGTAGTATACTGGGAGCATCGTCTTCTCCGTTCTTTGTACACCCTCCTCGCCCTCTATGCTCTTCTCCTCTCCGGTACGAGGAAACGTCGTGACGGGAACAGGGCCGTCAGCAACCTGCCACGGCACCGCGAACCCGCGGCCCTTGGCCGTCTCGGCGAGCGTCAGCTCGGCCAGGGCGGTCGTGGTGCATCCCAGCAGTAGCGCGTGGCACTCCCTCTCCACGGCCAGCGACAGCAGCAGATTCCGCACCAGGAGCCTCATGATATCCACCCGCGACGTGACGGACGGCAGGGCCTCGAGGAGAGCCCTGAGCTGCTGCGCGGGCGCGAGGCCGGGCTGCAGGGCGGGGAGGATGGACCAGTCTATCGTGTCCAGCTTGAGGGCGTCGCCCAGCGGGACGATTTGCATCGAGAGGTTGGGGAACTGGTCCTTGTACTTTTCAAAGAGCAGGCTTGCCGACGAGGCCGAAACATCTGCTGCGGCGTTTGACAGGTCTGTGTCGATGTGGATGACGTGCACCTCGTACGCGACGCGCAGGTTCTTCTCCTTGAGACCCTGGAGGTTCTTGTCGAGCACCTGGACCAACGAGGCGGACGAGGGGCCGAGGGAGAGGCCGAGGAGGTACTTTGCTCTTGCGTCGGGCGTGCTGGCTAGCTTGTCCTTTACATCGCGGTATGGTTGGGCGAGACGTTTCACGATTCTTTGGACAATGTGCTGCTCATAACAAGTCCTGCGTGCGGGGTCAGCTCTCTGTAAAAATCATGCATGAAGCATATCCAAATGAGATTACTTACTCGCAAAGAGGATCCTTTCTCACTTTCAAGACGGTAGGTGTCTTGCATCGCCTGCATGGGCGAGGTTCCGTGCTGCTCATTGTGGCGAGTCGGGCCGCCAGAAGTCACGTCGAAGTACTAGGGCTGGGCTCAGATGTGATTATCGAATTTTAAAGTAGTCGAGTCAAACTTTTCTCGAATATGAGAGTTGTATCCTGTAGTGCGATCTGATCAATATCCTGGTGGAGGTGGTGCAGCAGTTGGGTGTAGATGTTGAAGAGTGAGAAGGTTCCGCCACCATAGTTGACTCAGACTCAGTCTTTCTTTGATGTGTGTAGTTTGATTTTTTTTCGGCCCAACTCATCTTTCTCCATCATCCCCCGCGACAATTACCCAACGTCTGTTGAAGTGAACATGCGACGTAAGCGTCCCAGAACCTTGAACAGCCGATATTTTGTACTTCTGGAATTTATAAATTTTCGGTATCATCAAATGTTGGATAAACAACGTCGTTGTCTGATATTCGTGCGAATCCTTCCTCTATAAGGAAGATAGCTTTCAACCTCACGCAAATAAGACCGAGATAAGGAACGATAATTTGCACAGCTAATTACCTAATGCTATATTTAGGTCTTTTTGACCGAATCACAATGTTCTAGTCAATTGATATGAATTCACAACATGTAGCACTAGGTGACTTGTCCTGTCCCACCGAGCTTCCAGTTGAACTCAACTCATAGTCATGAAAAGATGCAGCCTAGGGGGTGCTTCTCAAAGAATACACGGTTCTTCGCCCAAGCATTCTTCAAAATATCTCGTCCCTCAGATGCCACTGTCTTCGCCTGGTCTTGCGTGCCCCAGCCTTGCACTGTCGTGCCAAAGCCGATGAGATGGACGGCGACATGAAGTAGTGTTCGGAAGACAAAGTCGTCGTCCACTGCGCCATACCCCTCGACGAAACCTTGGGTCAACCAGACACCAGCTTCCATGTCTTTATACAGCTTCAGTTCGTATAGTTCCGCAATCATCTGGCCTAGGTCAAGGGGCCTGACTGCGAGTTGGCACATCTCCCAATCAACGACGAGAAGGCGGTTATGCTCATCATCCCAGGGTTTGCCCTCTAGCAGAATACTATTAAATCGTGAGTCGTATGATCGGAGTGATGGTGTCTGGAACAACTTACTTTCCGGTCCAAAAGTCGCCGTGGATGACTTGCAGGCTTTTGTCGTCTACCATCTCCTTTTTCACGCTGTCCACAATGTCCGCAAAGACATCATTACAGTCCCCCAGAACATCTGGAAATCTAGTGATGGAGTTGGGGAGTCGTTCATAGTTCATCCATTGCTTAAGCGTCTGCATTTCCTTGTTTCCTGCGGCGAGATCGCGAAACTTGAGTTGCTCTTCCGAGTTGCTCCAGTCATGGAATGACCGCAGCCACGTACCCACAGCGTTACCAATGTCGAGGCATTGTGACTTGACTGATTCCAAAGTTGCTGATTCCGAGGTGGACGCTGCGAAGTACTGAACGGCATAGTTCTTGAGGCTCAGCGGGCTTGGCTGGTATGCCTGAACTTGGGTGTTGGTCTCTTCATTGAAGTAGAAAAGCTTCGGAGTTGCTACGCTGGTCTTGTGACCGGAGTATGGAGGAAACGCCGAGAGTTCTCGCAGGCAGCTTTCCTCGATCCGCTTCCTAGTATCAGCTATTAATTTCCTTCCAATCGAGTGTATAGAAACTTACGCATCTTGATGTGGGAAGTTTGAAGCCGGGACTCTGGGCGACAAAGCTCTCACCATGCTTTACGGCTATCTCAACAGTCCCATTAGACAGCGGCTGCTGCAGCTTCACATGAAATATGAAGTTTGTCGTTCCTCCACTGAGAAGTCGGGCAGACTCGAAGCAATATGGCGTACCGGCCAACTCCGCCTTGACCTCACGAAGCACTCGATCGGAGGTGCTTTCTTCCGCCATCACGATTACAGAGCCTGCAGACGAAGCTTTTGGAGTATTTTCATTCTTGACACTTGTCGAAGGGAAAGCGGGGATGGCCTGCGATATCTAGACCAAGTTGGGGAATGAGGGGGCCGTGAAAGTTGTCCTACGTAAAAGGCATTTCAACAGGCCGTGGGAAAATAATGAGTGGATGAATGGAGGAAATGACGACCTTTATCTGAACGACGCCAGAGACGCTCTTTCCTTTCGTTATCTTCTAAGTAATCGGTCGGGGCGTCGCTGTTCCTTCAACCGAGTCGGAATGACAGGGCAGCAGCAATCTGCAGCTAGACGGCAGATGACTCACCCGGCGTGAAGTTTCCATTTCTTCCATTACATCGCAAAGTCCACAGCCATCAAAATATATCGTCAAATGAAAGACCACAACAGGCAACCCACTTGCTAGTTTGCTATGCTCGCAGTTATGAAGCAGAATTCCCCCATAACATGAACAGACTGTTGCAGTATGCATGGCCAGTAGTGGCACCTTGCTACTCCTACCTTGGATCGCTTTCTACGACAAATCTTAGGCTGAGTTCACAGAAAGGCCCACTCGGCCATAGAAGAACCGCCAATTCGAAAAGTTGTAATGAAGAAACCGCTGATCAAAAACTGCGGACAAAGCAATTCGATCATAGACTAACCCAAAGTCTCTCAATCATGATAATATGGCAGGTTCTCAGCTCGACTCGCTCGCTCACTGAGACAATCAACATTTGCACAATCGTCCGTATGTGTCATTGCTACTTCTTGGAAGCTGCCTAAAAGCTAGTGTTGTTCGACCGGATACGTTGAGGGAAACCTCAGGTAGCGTGGAACAGCCTTGCTCAAAGTTGAGGGCATACCTGGCGACGGAGGATTGCAGATCGACTTACACGTGCTTGACTGTGCCCTGGGGTCCTGTATTACTTCGAGACGACGGATCATTGGTACGAAACCTTTAGTATAAAACGCAAGTCCATCATCTGCATGAATACCAGCTTATTTGTGCGACACTATGGAGGTAAATACTCCCTCGCCCTATTGCAGAGTCAATGGGGAATTGGGTCCTCCGTTTTGGAACAGGCACGATAATTCGGGCCTTCGTATAAAGGAACGACTTGAACGCAATTCAGCCCGCCTGGGTGTCTCACAATATAGAGATCGAAGTCGGCATGCTCGATAGCTTCTATGAATGACAGAACCTTGACCTGCGAAGGCGCCACGCTCAACCGGGAAAAAGTTGCTTTGCGAGGCATGTGAGATGATCAACCACGTAAACTCACTACCGAGGCCCAGCAATGGACAAAGCATGCCGAGTCCCAAAACGCCATCTACTACCAATGACCTCGACATAATACTAAATCACAGCAGATCGTATAAGCTCTGGAGGTTTCCTAACGACTAGATGGTGCTATGCCTTGCTGGATGTAAGTAGAGGCCATGGCATAGCTAGCCATCGTGCCACCGTTTGAGATGCAAGATGGACCAATACTTCTTGCGCTAATAATGACTCCCATGCAATCTAGAGGCAGAAGAAGGAGGAGGTTGAGGATGGGCAGCGGGAGGAAGTGGAACAGCAGTAGTTCTCCTTGGCAGCGTCAGTAGATCAAACAACACATGCAACTCCAAACCCCAGTCTCCTGTCAATCGGTCCTTATCCTACGTACACAGGCCAGAGTCACGGTCTCACCGTGGTTATCGACTTGGCTTGAGAGACGGTATGAAGTATTATACCTAGTCTCTGTCGGGACAAACGGATGAGCGACTGGAAATTGGGTGGTTGGGTAGTTCCAATTCGAATTCAGCCACAGAAGCAAACAAGGGAAGAGGCGGCCAACCACCGGGCCGCACCGGGCTTAGACACTAACATATGCCAGATACTGATCTGACTGGGGTTTGGACGCCACGGAAGAGCGGTTCGACAAGCCGTGGGTGAGGAAGCTTGTCTGAGCACCTCACCGCTCTTCCCGATGGATTTTGTGGGGGGCTTTAGAGAGAGGTCGAACAATATTGCATAAGGATGCTTTGGGACGGACAACTAGTAACATAACAAACCGCGAATATGCTAGCTCTGACAGCTCTCTACCGAGCGAGTGGACGTGGGATGGCGGGATATCAGGGTGATCCGTCTCGGAGCCGGGCTCACACAGCACGAGGTCTTGGCAGGGGACCGGGACTGCTTTGCGCGAGTCGAAAGGGCGGCAACTATTGAAGCTGGAACATGACGTCGATGCGGGAGTGGAGATGAGAGTATATCCGTAGCTTGCTCGGATGAAGTGAGAAAAAGTGACGGACCGCATGTTGTGCCTGGGCAATGGGCTTGTAAATAGAAGAGGGATAGGATAGGATGTAGTTAGACCACGGACGTAAGATGCCTAAGCGCGCTCGGTCGACGAGGTTGAGGCCAAGTCTGGGCGCCTAAGAAACTAACGCGCTTCGGATTTTGTTTGATTTGGAGAAAGCATTGGGTGTAGTGTGATTTTATGTCCTCCTATTCCATACGGAGTATCCAGCTAAGAAATATTTGTAGGTTCCTATTTGCGCCAAGCAAGCGCCCTGCCTATGATCAACGTGATTTGCTTGTGATATGGGGATAGCAGGGTCAGAATAAAGTCTGAAAGCGAAACTCTGGAACGGAAAGAAATGGAGACTTGGGCAACATGTTCGGACCGTCAGAAACCACGGTGCTGGGGAAAGCAAAACGCAACAGTCGGGACTTTGTCTCTTGCATCACACATGGCACGCCGCACGAGGGAGTCAGGGAGGAGGGCATTGAGATGGGACGAGATTCTTCAATTTGGAACAGGAAGGCGACCCACATGGGAAACAGTGAATGGCCAATGCAGCCGAGTGATCCAGAGTGTCCAGGTAGGGCCGCAGGAGCGTTTGTGGTGAGACGACGGTCGCGACCTACCCCTTTTTCTACCATCTATCCATACTTGGACTTTTGTACCCAATGATCCATATCGTTTCTGACTTTTTTTTCATCGTCCATTCGTACCTAGTCCACTGCTGTTTGGCAAATGGCTGGCAGGCGGGGACTGGGAGACTTGGAGTTGCATCCCAACCACTCGATCAAACAGCTTCGGGGGTGAAACGGGGCGGTGCTGGTCGTTCAGTGCTTCACCCACTTCTTGGCCCGCCACTAGCCTATGGCCCTATGCTGACGATGATGGTATCCGTACTATTTACTTGGAGGTTCCTGAGGCTCTGCACCAAGAAGCCAAGTACACCTGACTGTTCTGCAGCTCAAACGGGGTGAGATGCCGTCTTCTCTTGATTCTTTTAGCCGACAAGCAGGAGGCCTACAGATTGGATCAAGAGACGGGAGTCAGGCACATGCATGTACCTTGTGTAAGTATTCCACACCTACTTCCAACGCTCAAGCGCTCAGGTGCCCTCCATTCCCGACCACCTCTTCCTTGTCTCCCAAGCCTGTCACCTCCAAAAAGGCATGCTCTTGTTTCTTTGAATTCAGACACCGTCAGCCACTTAGATTGGAGCCGGTGAGCTGAGTTGGAGTCCTCTCCGCAGAACCCCTCATCAGGCCCCATGAGGCACTTTGGGAGATGTGGCCCAGAGCAATGCGCGCGCGCCTGCAACTCGCTGCGCTTCTTTCTGTTCTGCCCGTGGGGTCTTGGTTTATTGTTCTTGTTTTGATGATCCCACTCGGGTGTACCTGGGTTGAGCACTGGCTCGTTGTACATGATAATTAAACCAGCAAGACAACCACAGTAAACATAACACTAGATACTTTGTACCGTCTACATCCAAAGTACCTAGCCATCTCTCCCCCTTACCCCCCTGGGACCAGAGTTACAATATCATCTCATCAACAATACCAACCAGGTAGGTATCCGTACTAATGGTCCAATGCCACTGCAATGCATTGAAGAGAAAGGGACCCCACAAACTAATTTTGTCTTCTCTGCGCCCATTCGCCCACCATCAGATGGCGCCTCTGATCTTTCTCTCTCTCAAGCTTGATGCAATGCGCCCAGGAAGTTCAGGTCCAGGAACCTTTGGTGCTTCTTCTTTGCCTGCGACATCGCTGTGCCGATCAGCGCCCCTCCCCTCAAAGCTTAACTCTGACGGGCCACCACTGCAATTATAATCACCACCAAAATGTATCAAGCTTGGCTTGGGGCCGAGACTTTTAATTCCAGACCTTTTTTTTTTTCGACTCATCCAATGTACCCGTAGCTGTCCCGTCACTCGTCACCGCCATTGGAGCTCTTTTCGGCATCGTCATTGTCACTCACTCCCGTACAACCCGCACCGCACCGCACCGTCCGCCTTCTCCTCCACCTCTCCTCTCCTTCTCCCCTTCCACTCTCCCGATTTGAGTCGTCCCCAAGAAACCCATCACTCTGCTTAGCCATAGCTTCATGCTCCTTCCCCACGCCTTGGCTCTCACATCACACCTCGCCTCCCCCAAGCAAATAGCCGGCACTTGATCTTTCGTCACTCCTACCATCTGCCCCAGGCTTGCGACTTGCGGCTTGCCTCCGTCACTCTTTTGAGGTATTTGACACGGCGCTACGCATACATAATCGTTACACAGTACATTATTGCGCAGTCCACCGATCCTCACCGCATCTTGACATTCCATTATTTCTTAAACACCATACCGCACTTCCCGACCTCCGTTACACACAGTTCTTCATCCCCTTGCTGCCATCACTTGCCTCTCAAACTCGAGATTCGTCTCCTTTCCTTGGCATCCCAAGTTTCACCACTCAAATACCTGACCTCTCAACCCCCCGGCACAAGACATTTACACACGACACGCCCGTGCGAAAGGAGTCAACGCTGAAGCTCCTCCTTCTCTGCTGCCCCCCCTTTCCACAACAACACTCTGCGCGCGCGCGACCTGTCTCGTCCCGCCTTGCACACTTGTTTCTTCCCATTTACAGTTGTGCCCAAACACATTTTCGGGCCCATCTTTGGTTTTCGCAAGGGCAGCAATCAGCATAAACAAGGCCCCAGTCGGTCCCAGCAAAACTACAACCGCAACCGAGCAAGGGCACGATAATAGAGCCACCACCGACGCGCGACTCCCACTCGGTATATCCACTTCCAGCCACCTCGACTGCTTTTTGCCTCGTCCAACACCCGATCTGACCTTGCAGAAATCCTTTGCCTACCTTACCTACGGATACCTAGACTAATACCCGGAGTCCCAACGCTGCCGGCATTGCTTAGTCGCATCACTTGCTCACCCGCCGCCGCCGCCGTCGCCGCCGCCATTTTCCACAAGTCTCTCGTTCTGCGGCAACTTTGCGTCTTTATCCGTTCCCATTGCTTCCCTGACGGACTTTTTGCACGGGAACCTCTTTTAATGTGCGACTTTACGCGACTGCCATCCTACTTACACCCACGACCATACGATACGAATTAATATCTTCACCATGACGACCATGGCCCAGTCGCAGATTCAGCTGCCCACGTCGCATCCGGCACCAAGCTTGGACGTCACCATCCCACCGTCGTCGATATCTCTGCCCACCGATCCCAATTCTCGACTCCGAAGCCGCTTAGCTCTGGACACTTATTCGTCACCTGTCAATCAAAATGGTAGTTTCGAGTTCGACCGCGTTGTGAAGAGCGGCTACCTGCAGAAGCGCACGCAGAAGACAAAGGTTCGTAGGGCCCGGTTCACAATCCTTCCAATTTGCGCTTGAAGACCGTTCCTGACCAATTGAACAGACGTGGAAGTCAATTTACTTCGTTCTCCGACCCAATTCACTCTCAATCTACCGATCCGACAAAGAGGACAAGCTGCGACACAAGCTGTACCTGGCCGACTTGACCGCCGTTGCTTTGCTCAAGGACCCCAAGAACAAGAGGAAGAACGTATTTGGACTCTTTTCGCCAGCGAGGAACTACCACTTTCAGGCTAGCAGTAGCCACGATGCGGAGGAATGGGTAGATTTGATTAGGAGTCATGCCCGGATTGAAGAGGAACATGATGAGCTGCTCCTCGCAAGCCCAAATGGCAAGCGACAATCCTACGTGGTGGTTGGCAGATCTGCCCAGGCCGGAGAGATGGCACGAGCCGAGAGACTAGGATCAAGTTCTCCCGAGCCGTTGGAACCTCCGGTGCCACGCTTTGTCGGTTCAACCCATCGACGTCCATCGCAGATGGCGGATACCGCTGGGTACTCTGGCAACGAATTGGCCTCGCATTCGGACTTCTCGGACAACGAGATCCAGCGGATACAGGGCATGTCTATCGAGGACTTGGCGGTCCAGTCGCCAGGCAAAGGCACCCAGGACCGGCCAGGTCTCGACCGTAATGCGAGCCAGCTCAGCGGTCTCAACATTGAGCAAGACCCTGATCGCGTGATCTGGCAGGGCTGGCTTTGGTTCCTCCGCAGTAAGGGTGGCGTGAAGCAGTGGAAGAATCTGTGGGGTGTTCTCCGGCCACGAAACTTCATCCTCTACAAGGACGAGTCTGAATACACGGCGCAGTTTATTCGACCAATGTCAGCAATAGTCAATGTTGTTGACATCGACCCGGTCAGTAAGACCAAGAAACACTGTCTACAGCTCATTACAGAGGAAAAGAGCTACCGATTCTGCGCCCACGACGAAGAATCTCTGATTCATTGCCTGGGCGCATTCAAGAGCTTGTTCGCCAAGAGGCGAGAGCTCGAAACGCGTGGTCCTACAGGAGGAAATCAGCCCACTACGAATGCGGCATGAAGCTGCAAGTCATTACTAGGCAACCCACAGGATTTTCTTTTTAGCGGGAGTTTTGCCATAGCATTTTTTTCCTTTTGTTTACGAAGCATGATGCAACGATATAAATTTGGGACTCTACAGAGTCGAAGAGGTGGAGGAAAAGGCTTGCCAGCAGCTTTTCGACTTAGCTGCAGCTACGGTCAAGAGTCAAAAGGACAGTGACTCGGACACTGGTGCATTCCTTGGGAGAACGAGATGGAGAATGCCAGGCTACTGGAGGGAGAAAGAAGCCTGCCAGCCAACCGCTTTGTGTTAGTATACCCTACCTTAGTGTGATACTATGGGCAGACCATGACTGCCGACCGTCTCAATATGAAGAGGCGGGCTACGTGTAACGATGATAATGAATCAATATTCTACTACCTTGCTTGGCTTGCCGTTGTAGTTCAGCAATGGGAGGGTTTCTGTGCTTTGACCAGCCAAATGTTGCTCAGGTGGACGCCCCCTGAAAGCCAGGAATGTGAAGAAATGACCATTCTTTTCAGGTCATTGGCAAGGCACAGCTTCCCTCTGCTGACATTGGGTCGAACAAACCCTCTCAGCAAGCCAGACCAGGCAGGTGTTATTGACTTGATGATCGCTCTGGTCGAATTTGACCAATGGCGTTGAAGAAATTAGTTCTCCAACTTTAAGATGGTGGGAGGCTTCGGCACTAAGAATTACTGTGTACCTTGAGGTAATGTGTATGAGGGGAAGGGGGACGCAAGGAAAAAAACGGGTGTGGCGAATGAGAGTGGCGCAACCAGCTCAGACCCCCCGGTTTGGCCCAGCACCTCCAGCTCCAGCCCCGGTCGGGTGACGTGGACCCTCTTTTATCGGACGGTCCTATCGCGCCGCGCCCCGGCCACACCAACCTCACCCTACTTCCGCTGCCGGTTTCCTCTCCAAGTCTGCGGAGCCTTGAATGCCACCCACCTTCTCTACCAAGCTTCTGACCTTTTTTCTTGTAGGTATTTCTGACGACACCCAAATTGCATTTCCCCCCTCTCGTAACCTTGCAAATGGCCTGCATGGTTAAATGCCGTTCCTGGCCGAGACAAGCGAATCACACGCCGCAACGGCCATGTGTTCAGCAAACGGCTTACCCCTGTCTATGGCGGGGGGAACCCGACGAAGAGAAGAAAGAGTCTCGGCTTGCTTCTTCTCTGCTGTTGGTTCTCCGAACGTATTGGATCAACAATCTTGGACACTGCTTTGAGACTAGATATGTGTGTTTATTTGCCGTCGAGTACAGGGGTGTTCATGGGTTGTTTGGCTCTTTTGCTGCTTTGACTTTTACTGTTAGGACAATGGCGACGGGATACGACGCTGTTGTGAGGAGGGCCTTGGCTGGACCTGCTGCGCCGACTCTATTCGTCCGAAGTTCTACAACTTCTTGGGAGAGGCGCTTTTGACAAGTGTGATTGATTGATGCTCCATGTGGACGAGACTTCTCCAGGTGGGAGGCCCCTCTTCCTTTCTGGAGGCTATTTCCTCTCAACTCATACTCGTGGAGATTTACGAACAATGTTTAAAATGGGGTAGGTCAGGTAAAGGTCGCGTGCTGTCACCTCGTCGCTGTTCTTGAATGACTATATCTCGTTCGACTCACCCCCATCTTGTTGCGACCAAGGACGAGCTTTCTCCCTCTCCGAAGGGTTGTATCGCTGGTCTCTGTTTGGTCCTGCAGCTAGTCAGTCGCCGTTTTCTGTCTCTTGCGGGTTTTCTCTCAGCTGCTCTTCTTTCGAGGTTCCATCGCGACGTCCTCGTGGACTTTTCCGACACCTTTCTATCAGGATGCTCTATACCTGATCGACCTTGACCCCCCCGGCGTATTATACCACTCGTTTTGTTCTGCTTCTGGCTACTTATTAGCACTAAAAGTTGGCCGTCCCCGGGTGTCTGACTTGGTGACGCTCCGAAAGACTAGAGTTTTGCTTAGTATCCCTACATCGACACACGATCTTAGTGATTTAAAGTAAGAATCTTGCTCGTGGGACGATATAACAGCACCGCAAAAGTCACAGTACCGTCTTTACACAAGCTATATCAAAAACCGCCAACAATGAGGCCCGTCCTCATCCTCTGGGCCGTCTGGTCCCTCATCCTCCCCATCCTCGCCCAGAAACCGCAACTCCCCCTCTTCTCAACATCCCGCTGGATAACAGACTCCTCCAACGCCCGCGTCAAACTCCGCTGCATCAACTGGGCCGGCCACATGGAAGTCAACCTCCCAGAGGGTCTCCACAAGCACCCGATCGAGTACCTCGCCGACTGGATCAAGCTCCAAGGCTTCAACTGCGTGCGCCTCACCTTCTCGACAGACCACGCCACGAACCCGGGCGTCACCGTCCGCGACTCCTTCACCAACGGCGCAAAAGCCGCCGGCGTGCCCGAGGCCGACCTGCTCAAGCTCCACGACCAGGCCCTCGTCCAGAACCCGTTCCTCGCAGGCGGCAACGTGACGCAGCGCGACGTCTTTGGTAAAATCATCGACGTCCTCTGGGAGCGGGACATCATGACCATCCTCGACAACCACGTCAGCAAAGCATCCTGGTGCTGCAACCTCGACGACGGCAACGGCTGGTGGAAGGACGCGCGTTTCTACTGGGCCGCCAACTCGCGCTACTTTGACACGGACGACTGGCTCGCGGGCTTGCAGCAGATGAGCCTCTGGGCCAAGACCAAACCCGGCGTCGCGGCCATCTCCCTGCGCAACGAGCTGCGCGCCACCTGGACGCAGATCCCCTTTGCCGCGGACCAGTGGTACGGGTACGTGACGCGCGGGGCCAAGACCGTCCACGAGGCGAACCCGGACGTGCTCGTCATCGTCGGCGGGCTCAACTCGGCCACGGACTTCACTCCGCTCCGGACAAAGAGCCTCGATACGAGCGCGTGGAAGGGGAAGAACGTCTGGGAGGCGCACAGCTACAGCTTCACGGTCACGACGCCGAATTTCGGAGACTGCAACGTCGAAAAGGCAGAGTACGGCGCTCTGTTCGGCTTCGTGCTGGAGCAGGGGAAAGGGTACACCGGTCCGCTGTTCCTGTCCGAGTTCGGGGCCGCCATGCAGGGCGGGAGCGAGGATGGGTTGTCGGCTGAGGAGCATGCGTATTTGACTTGCCTTGTGGGCTATCTTGAGGACAATGATGCGGATTGGGCACTGTGGGCGATTCAGGGGTCGTATTATGTGCGGAACAAGGTGGTTGATTTCGATGAGACGTGGGGTGCCATGGATCACGAGTGGGAGGACTGGCGGAATGCCAAGTTCAAGGGGCTGTTGGGTAACATTTTTGCTGTTACTCAGGGGCCTTAGCATGGCTGCTGGTAGGGCGAGAATGTGGAATCATATGAGATGTCGGTGTTGGGGATCGGGATGAGGTATATAGATCCTGCCCGGGCATCGGGCGATAGTTGGTTATACCACCTTGGTATTAATGTTAAGTTGAGGAACCGCGTCCCTTGCTTCTTTGGGCGAGGAGCTTTCGTGCTATCAAGCATCTTGATCGGCGGCGATGGCCCTTGCATGTCGAGAACAGCCAGTATTTGTCGCCACGCATTCGAGCCATCGCAGCGAACGATCAGGCTGATGTGAAGGATGGGTCACCTTTGGGATGTTGTCGTCCGTTCACGCTTAGTAGAGATGAAGATGTCGATGAAAGCGATTGGAATAACTGGGTATCATGAATTTCTACCAATGTCTAGTCCAAAGAGCTGGCCAGTTTGCGGGTCTGGGTGAAGATGCTCGCCTGAACTCTCGGCTTACGCTGGCCGGAGACCTACCTCCCTAAGAGGTCTCCACTGCCTCGTCAGCCTTGGCCTCTTCGACTATCTCTTCCGTCTCTTCTTTCTCCTGGGCTTCTATAGGCTTCTCAGTCTCTTCGGCCTCCTTGGCTTCCTGAGGCTCTTGGGTTTCCTGCAGTGCCTCTACCGGCACATCGTCCATGGCCGTGTCCGCTTCATCTGCCTTCGTCTCGTCCTCTGGCTTGCCGTTGGTGAGCTTGGCCTCTTCGGCTTTGCCATAGATGTGGTCCTCCAGCGTCTTGAAAGTGGCTTCGAGCCCCTCATTGGTAAGAACCAAATCAAACCCGTCCTTCAGCTTTGAATCTTCCTCCCAGTAGGGAGCAGCTTTGCCAAGGGCGTCCGCCACCAAATCGCCTTTCTTCGCCTCTTGCAACCGTTCTTCCAAAACTTCTTTACTTGGTGGCAAGATGAGAATTGTTCGTGCTGAGTAGCCAAGGTCGCGAGTTTGTTGGATAGCCTACATTTCGTTTAGTAAAATTCCAGTAGTTGGTTGGGAGAGAAGGGAGATGACTGACCTCACTGTCCATGAAGGTGACTGGGACCTTGCCTCCCTCGACAACCGCTTCCAAAGCCTTCCGGCTCGTGCCATAGTCCACCTCGTCTATCGTAGTATACTCCAACAACGCATCGCCGTCTCTTAGTACATTAAAGGCCAGCTTCTCGACGAAGTGAAAGTCTTTGCAATCAGCCTCGCCTTCTTGCGGCCTTCTTGTAGTGTGCCGGGGCACGTGTGTGAAAGCACCAGGACGCCGGCTTGCGAGTAGTTGAAAAAGCGTCGCTTTTCCAGCACCCGGTGGTCCTGAGAGTATGATTGGGCGCTTGTCTTCAGGGATGTTTTCAGAGTTCGCGGCTTCCTCAGCAGCCTCGCTCTCGTCTACATCGACCGGTTCCTCAAAGATGGCGTCAATCTTTTCCGGATCGTCAATCTTGTCGAATAAGGCCAGCCTCGATTTGCCTGCTATCCGGAGAGCGCGCCAACTTTTACTCGCTTTGCTTTCAACAATGGCCGCTTTGGTCTGGTTGTCTCTCGCAATGTCGATTTCAAAGTTGTCGTCCGAAATCTTCCCCTTGAAACTCTCAAGCTCTGGTAGGCTGTATCTTTCCGGAGCCTTGAGCTTCTTCATCGCACGCTCGTCGTCGCCATCATCCAGGAAACCGAGGGACAGAGACCCCATCGGCGTGGCCCTCAATCGTTTCTTCGTTGTTGTACGCTGGGCTGTCTTTTTGGCCTCGTCAAATATCTCTGGAGATACTGCGGGCAACTCTATTGACGGGCAGTTCTCCGATTTCCAACGGATCCAATTTTTATCCCTGGCAAGGACCGTTTCGACCATCCGACTGAAATACGGGCCGTCAACGCCGTGCTTGAGGTACTTGTCGACAATTGTCTTCTTCATCTCCGTTGCCCACTTCGTCTGTCTTCGTGTCAGCCTGATTTCACAATTGTCGCAGGAATAGTACAATCACCTACATCTTCTTCGGTAAGGACCTGGCCAAGGTAGATCACCGACTTGTTCTGAGCGTTGCCGGCTAGTTTCTCCTTTGATTTCGGGGAAAGCGAGAGAAGGAAATCCATGATAATCAAGGCCTGAACGAGGATATGTCTGCGGAAAGAGATGTCGCTCATCTAGGACTGTCAGTCTGAGAGCCACACGGCATGATCGGTCATAGCTTACCTCTAGTTCGAACAGGTCTCTGCTGGTGAGGTATTTGGGGTTGTATGAGTTTGCCAAGTCGCTCTCTTCCACATCTGCTCGTTTCCGTTTGAAGCCGCGTTGGGCCTCATCTACCGCTTTCGGAGGTCGCTGGCCCTGCTCGCTCTGAAT